GCGACACAGCAGCGCCTGCAGGAGAGCAGTGACTCCAGATGGCTTAATGATAGGGGCCCAGGGCCCTGCTTTGCAAGTCTCTCTCCTGGGTAAGGGAATGATCTGGGCTGCAGAAGGCAGCCAGCTGCCTGGTGGTGAGGACCCCAGATGGGGACTGTGTGCCTCAGCTGGGTCATCAGAACCGCCGGACGGGATACGGCTTCCTGCCTTGTTCTCTCCGTCCCTCCCTTTCTTCAGTTTTTCTTACTATCCCAGCACAGAGTCGGCAAGCATGCGACCACCCTCTCTCGGACACAAACACATGGCCCGTTACAAACTCTTTTAATTGCAGCTACCATGATGGTGTATGTTATGGGGCACAAGGAGATGATTCAGTGCCCCCTGCCCACGCAGTCAACACCAATGGGGTTCAGACCCCCTGTACCCCTGCCCATGCAGTCAACATCAATGGGGTTCAGACCCCCTGCCCACACTGTCAACACCAATGGGGTTCAGATCCCCTGCCCATGCTATCAACACCAGTGGGGTTCAGGCTTGTGGCCATCTGCACATGCTTCCTTCACAGGGTCAGAAGCCACTCTCCATGTCATGTGTTCTGTGGTTCTGGACATCACGTGCGTGACATGTAGGTGTCATTACAGTATCAGCGGGGTTGAATCATCACCCCCAAAGTCCTGAGCTCCACCAACTCATTTCCCAAGCTGCAGACAATGCCGTTCCTGTTCCTGTCTTTTCCAGGCGATCTCGTGGTTGGAATCACACAGTGTGCTTTCTCTCAGATCAGCTTCTTGCTGGGTAGCATGAAGCATTTACACCTCATGTTGCTGGATGTCTGGAGGGACCTGGGATATCAGATTCCTGCAGAGGCCTGAGGAGCACCACAGTGCTGGGTGGTTAGCAGGCAAGGAGGCCATTGGGAATAGACCCCTCTCCCCATGGACGCTGAGCCATCGAGGAGAGGAATAATTATCCCCTAATGCTACCATGTTCTTTTCCGTCCCAGACGGCCCTCCTGTGGCAAGGATGCTTGCAGACGCAAGGCTTCTACCACATGGCACCCCGACTCAGGAAAGTGGAAGTTTCTTCTTTTCCCTCTTTCTATCTTTTCAGACACTGGCCAAAAGCCTGGGCCTTCATTCCCAGACTCAGTGGGCTTTCTCACTCTTTCTCTGAAGCTGGCCCACTCCTCTTCGGCCCTGTGATGCTTGTCCTGCCTTCCCGGACCTGCCGGCTTTCTTGGACCCTAACTTAAAAGGACAGGGCTCCCTCTCTTCCTCTTTCCCATTTCCCTCCTCCAGGCAGCTGTCAAGATTCACAGCTTGCCTGCCCTGCTGTTTTTCTCCCAGACATTACTGCAATTGTCCCCGGGCTTCCTTCAGAGTCTGTTTTAAAATTCTTTTATTAATAAGACTAAGAATCCAAAAGGGACCCGGTTTCCCTGGTAACGTATGGCCCTTGCACAGGGACTCCCCAGATTTCCACAGTAACAGTGGCTGGATCAGATGGGAGAGAACGCTAGATCTCAGCTGCTGCCTCAGTTCCCCTGGTTTCCAAAGAAGCTGTGAAACAGAAACTGGCGAAGGGAAACGTATTTATTGGAAGTTTTGGGTAAACAATGACGAGAACCAAGATTCTCAGTTTTTTCCTCACCTCTGTCTCAGTGCTACACAGTATTATAGGGAAGATGGGACAAAGCTGGGCATGATGGGACACACTTGTAACCCAGCACCCAGGAGGATCAGGAGTCCAAGGCTATCCTCAGGTACATAGGGAGTTTGGGGCTAGCCTGGACTACATGAGACCTTATCTCCAAACAGGGATAAGCCAGATGGCTCAGCGCTTGCCTCTCAGCCCAATTTCAATCCCTGGACCCCACAGTGGAAGGGACAGAACTGAGAAAGCTGACCTTTGACATCCACAGGCACCGTCACACATACACACACACACACACACACACACACACACACACACACACACACACACCACACACACACGAATAATAGATTAAATTCTAAAAGCAAATGAGATGAAGCCAGGGTCTATGAGACAATGTCCAGGCTGGATGGAGACAGCCCCTGGGAGGCACACTCCTCGGTGAGCATTGGGGACGTTCATCTTCCCGGTGGTCTGTGCTGACCACCCCCCCCCCCCGAGTCAGGCTCTGGGGGGAGGGTAGGAAAGGAAGCCCCAGATCCTTCCCAGCCTACAAACTTCCTTGCAATCTCCCTCAAGAATGTGGAGGGAGACCCTTTGCTCTCAGAGGAAGGAGCTTGATTTCCCTTTCGGCGGGGCCGGCCTACGCCAGCCAGCACCCATCTCTTGCTTGGCCTCTCAACCCCTGTTGGTAAGACCTTTAAACACAGCACCTGGAATAAAGGAGATGTTCAGCAAATGACAGCTAATTCTCCTGTATGCCTTGGAGTGGGGTTTCTGAGAGACAAAGTCTTAGAGAGAGCCACTGTGTGGGGGAGGCTGGCAGCTCCAGGAGGCAGAAGTACTTAGGTTCCCCTGAGGACGGGGTTCTGTGACTCAGAAAGACTTCTCCACCCAGACTCACCCAGTGGCAAATAATACAATACACTGCCCCCTCAGAGACCCAAATTTACACACACACACACACACACACACACACACACACACACACACACACACACATGGCTATTACCTGAGCACATCGTTCGGACCTTAGTACGAAGCCCTGGGGTGAGGGGAGGTCCCTTCCGTCCTCACCCCCTCCACTGCTGTTTCCTGGGAGCCTGCTGTACACCAGGTGCTGGGGCTAAGACATGGAGTGAGAGGTTCAGACTTCAGGGTGCTCTCCCCTCTAGTCCTGGCAGGAGGGTGTGGGTAAGAAGTTCACATTCGCACCCTCCCGCCAACGGTGGGGTGGCACAGCCCCCGAACTCTGCCCCTCTTCCTTCGGTCCCCTGCCCCCTCCGTGCCCACCTCTTTCTGTCTTCTGTCAGCTGCTAATGAGTTAAATGTTCCCCGACGCCCACTCGGCAGCCACTTAGGGGTAAAGATGTGGGGTGCTATAAAGAACATAGAGGGAACAAGCAAGGAGCCAGCCCCAGAGACACCCTCAGTGAGGGAATGGCTGCCGGGACCAATGGGGTGTCCCTCACTGATGTAGGAAATAGCTTCCCAGTTGCTCACGGGAGCCTGGGGGAGGCGGATGAGCCTTGAGCATTCCATTGTCTCCCTCACTTTCATTCAGTCCTCCAACAACATAAGCAGGAGCGTGGAGAGTTGAGTAACCCAAGGCTGGTGGAGACAGGTGTCTCTCCAAGTCACTATGAATCCAGGCTAGCGACTGTCCAGGGCCCACACTTGGATCTAAAGATCTGTGATCTACAGAGCTGAGGGGGACCCTCAAAGCACTCGAGTGACTCCTGACTTCCTCTCTCCATGGCACATAAGTCCCCACAAGGCACTGGCTTCTAAAGTGCAGCATCAGCTCGGGATGCAGCTCGGTTGGTAGAGCGTCTGCCTAGCATGCAGGCAGCCCTGGGTTCAATCGCCAGCACCCCTTAAACCAGGTCTGTGGTGCACTCCCGAAACCCCAGCACTTGAGAGGCGAAGGCAGGAAGATCAGGAGTTCTAGGTTATGTTTAACTACGTGGTGAGTTTGAGGCAGCCTGGGCTACATGGAGACACTGTCTCAAAAAAATTAAAAGGCTAAAATGTAGGGATCATGAAACCTCGGTGAGGTCTGTGCCCTTAGCAAGGCGGTGAGTTCTGTGAGTTAGCAGGGCCATGGCACTCAGGACCCTTGTGGTCTGGCTCTGCCCACTGTTTTCCTGCCTACCTCCCGGCCTGGCTCTTCCTCAGCTGTCCTCTACCCAGAGGGTTATCTGCTTGTCCCAGACTGGCTGCTTCCTGGGGAAGCCCTCTCCCACCTCTCTCCCCAGGTAGTTATAGACCCTCCATTGCTACAGGTCCCCATACTCCAGGGTTGGTGGGGTCCCCAAATCTCCTGACACTTTAAACCCCAATCTGGGACCTCAGTGCAAAGACTTGTCTCTTCTCATGGGCTTGGGCCTATCGTTCTGAAGCAGATGCTAAAGTCCTAGGGTTCCTCATAGCCCGCCTTCCACTTACCAGCTGTGTGTCTCAGGATAAGTTAACTAACTTCTCTGATACTCAGTTCTCAGCTCCGTAAGACAACATAGAACTTCACAGAATTGTTGTGGGAACTAACTCAGAGTGTGAGAGTGTGCACGTGGGTGTGCATGTCTATGTGAGTGTGCGTGTGTGTGAGAGTATGTGTGCGTGTGTGTGTGAGTGTGCATGTGTGGAGCGGCCCGTGTAAGTGATTATCAAACACTGTTAATATGTTGCTGTTCTGTGTCACGAGATACACACCCTGCAGGGCTCTCTCACAGTCTAGTTGACATAGCAACTGTGGAGTGGCCTGCTTTCTCCCTTGGTTGACTAAAAGTTCCCTGAAAATAGAGAGTAACTTTTTCATTCTTGTGTTCCTAGCACATACAGTCAGGATGAACATATTTTAAATTTTTGAAATTACATTTATTTATTTATTTATTTATTTATTTATTTATTTATTTGTGTGTCTGTCTGTCTGTCTGTCTGTCTGTGGGCATCTTCGTAGGATCATGCCACAGCATGCATGTGGAGGTCAGTGGACAGGAATCAGTTCTCTCTTTCCATCCATTCTGTGGGTTCCTGGGGACTAACCTTGCATCTCCAGATTTGGCGACAATCACCTTTACCTGCTGAGCCATCTCCCTGCTGGGTTTTATGTGAGTGGAAGAACAGGAAGTACCCGGCTGAGTGGAGAGTCGGACGGAAGGAGGGGTGCAGGGATGGATGGGTGGGTGGACTGCAGGAAGAAGACAGACTAACAGATGAACGCAAGGACGGATGGGTAGGTGGGTGGATAAATTAACCGGTGGGTAGATGGTTGAGGGTGATGGATGGACAGAGGGAGGAATGTTTGGTGCCACAAGTGCGTGGATTTTTATGTTTTGCATGCCTAGGAGGTGGTCGGTGCAGTAAGAGGTGAGCTTCTGAATGAGTGGGGCGGCAGACACCACCTGAAACCGCAGTGAAGCTCCCATGCTGCTGTGAGCCTTGAGGAGCTACCCAGAGCCGCAACTTCCGTTGGTGGTGGACGGTTGGGTCCCCCTCGCCTTGGCTGAGAGCACCCTGTCACCCCCTGCTGGTGGTAACATGAAACAGCACTGCCCAACAGTTCATCTACGTCGTGTTTTTGGTTCTCAACTTTGTGTGCCCACGAGCACTCTCCGGGGCCACCTGTGACGACAGAGATGCTAGCTAGAAAGCCAGAGCTTCTCATCAGCTCCAGGAGGGACTCGAATTCCTAACCGGGAGCTCATCATACCCTCCTCGGAGAATCCCTGACCAGAGGACGTTGCTGCAGTAGCTGGAAAGAGACGGGCTCTTTTGTTCCGTGGCTACCTCTGAATTGCCGGGCAGTGTCCAGAGTACACGGGACACAGAATACACGGGAAGAGCTGTGGTTTGACCAAGCAGGATGGCACTTACCTGTAATCCCAGCACTTGGGAGGTAGAAGCAGAAAGAACAGGAGGAGTTCAGGGCTAGCCTCAGCTACAGAACAAGTTTTGAGTCTAGCCTGGGCTACATGAGACCCTGTCTAAAACAAACAAAAAAAGCGTGGTTTCAAATCTCATGCCGCCCCCCACTCATTGAAGCCCTCACATCCCTCACCTGTAAGACAGGAGAGAGCAGACGAGACAGCCTGCGGAGCTGAGCTGGCCACCCGGAGGCCCTCAGCAAATACCGATCGCACGGATGTGCTGCTTCCTAGGCCTGCTTCCCTCTCTAGACGATGGCCTGTGGAGGATTTGATTTCTGCACTAGAACACATGCCCTCGGGAGGTGGGTTTTACCTCTGCATCTCGGCTATCGCTGGGACACAGTTGGCCTCCCTAACTCTTCCTTGAGGAAGCGATATGAATGAGTTTGGGCTCAGAAAGTCTCTGAGGTTTTCTTTGGACGAAGGGAACCCACCCGTCTGTGTTTGTTTGACAAATATATACAAAGCCTGTTTAGGAAGAGAGGAGCAAGCAGCTTGGGCCTGCCCTGTTGGCACCTTCTACAGACAGATCCAGCCAACCGTGGGTAGAACACAAGTGAGGGGGGAAAATGTCTAGGGCTGAGGAGACGGCGCAGTTGGCAAAGAACTGGCCACATAAGCAAAGGGACCTGAGTTCGGATACTCAGCACTGGGAAGGCAGAGGCAGGAAGATACCTGGAGCACACTGGCCAGGCAGTGTTGCCGAATTATCTGTCAGTATTGGAAAGACCCTGGTTCAAAACACAAGGAGGGCAGGGTGACTGGAGGAGCTACTCAATATTGACCTCTGGCCTCCACACACACAAATACTACACACTCATAATACACACGCGCACAAACACACACACAGGGTCCATAGTGAATGTATAGGAAAGTCCTCCTTTGCCATTGTTTTAAGTACTATGTAACAACTCTTGAGCACTGACATCCGTGTTAGGTGTTCTAAGACATGTGAGATGTTTGGAAATCCATAGGAGGGTGTGCGCCTAGCCTATACAAACCCTGCCTTTGTACCCAAGACACTTGAACCTCTCTGGGACCCAATGCCCTGTGGATTCTGAGGGACAGATGTACACAAATAATGCATAGGGTCTTGTGGTTGACTGAGGTCAAGCTTTCCCCCGGACTTCAATCCTTACTAAGATTGAAGCACCCCAATTCCTGTGTGTCGGAGAGCAAAGACCGGGCTCTGCAGCCCTGGAACCCAAGCCACCTTCTCTCAAGGTGCTTCCTTCCATTGTAGTTGGTCCTCAGCCCTCTCGGGGCCTCCGCATACCCCTTTGAGGTTGCTCAGAACCTCTTTACATTCTGGGTTTTGGTGGTGGTGGGGGGGGGGCTCATGCCCGTGTCCACTGCTGTTTTGCAGGTGGCAGCCCAGTGCCCTGAAGCTTGACCAGATGGAGGCCTTCGAGCGGGAGTCCCCAGAAGGTGGCACACAGCTTGGTCGCCCGTTGGAGCTGGAGGAGAGGCCAGCATCAGAGCCCGCAGTGAACTAACCAAGCTCAACAGCCCAAAAGAGACTTAGAAGGGGCCAAAGTGACCTGCAGCTGCTGGGCTCCCTCCCCTAGTCCTTGTCACCAGAGTTCTTCAGCCGCACTCTGGGATGAGGACCGAGATGTGGGGAAAGGAGACCGAATCCTGTAGGTCCCCTTTCTTGGCCCCAGGCAGCTCACGTTGACCTCGGGACTCCAGAACCTCTGTCCTCGTTTCCCTGTCCTCAGCCCAGCCTGGGCTTGCTTTCTGGCTACAGTATCTCCTCTGTGGAAGGACCAGAATACCACGCCCTCGGAGTTGCATTCTTAAGGTGTCCTGGGAAGCCACGCCCTCCACGCCCCTTCCCAGCCATCAGCCCAGCCAGCCCCGAGCCAGTCCGGAATGATCCTGCTATGGCCAAGCTCTGGTTCAAGTTCCAGCGGTGTTTCCGGTATTTCCGCAGGAAGCCCGTGCGCTTCTTTACCCTGCTGGCTCTCTACCTGACCGCTGGGAGCCTCGTCTTTCTGCACTCCGGCTTCGTGGGCCAGCCGGCGGTGCCCCAGAGCCAGGCAAGCCCTGCCGCGGGGAGCCCAGCAGAAGGAGCCGAGCTGCCCTTCCTGGGCGACTTGCACCTGGGCAGAGGCTTCCGGGACACGGGGGAGACCTCCAGCATCTCACGCAGATACGGACCTTCATTCAAGAGCAAGGAGCCCAGCGAGAGAGCCAAGCTGGGTGACTACGGGGGAGCCTGGAGCCGAGCCCTCAAAGGGAGGGTTGTCCGGGAGAAGGAGAAGGAAAAGGAAGAGGAGAGAGGTAAGAGCCTGGAGGGACGGGGAAAATACAGGATACAGAACACAAATGCAGAAATAACAGCCAGCAGCTGGTTGAGGAGCTCCAGACACACGGAGGTAGGAAATCAGCGCTGTCATCCGTAATTAGCAGCCACTAGCCCTTCGGTTGGTAAATCCCATACGAACCCCACACTTGCCTCAGTTTAGAATCCCTGTTCCCTTTATCGCTGCTTATTAAACACACACAAAAACTCCAGCATCAGTGATTGCAGAGCACTGAATGTCCCAGGATCTGTGGTGAGCACTTGACACATGCAGAATCATCTCCATGGTACTAAACAGCTACCCTGCCTGTTTAAAGACAGGGAGACAGCTGGCCAGAGTGGTGAATACCTTCATCTCTGCCCTGGGGAGGCTGAGGTGGAAGGAGTTGGAGGCTAGCCTGGGCTATATACTGAGACTCTGTCTTAAAGTGAAAAAAGGACACCAGGAGCCCAGGATTGATGGAAAATACTTAGCAAAGCGAAGCTATGGCCATGCCAAAGAGTTCTCCATCTGCCGAGCTCTGTCGTGGTGATGGAGCTCTGGGCGCTAACACTGCCCTGGGTAAATGCCTTGTTGCATTTTCTCAGCCTTTTACAGCCCAAAGGATTTTGATTACCGGTACATTTCACAGGCTTGAACAGGGCGCAGATGAGCGGTGCCTGCCTTGATTAACAGATGTGGAAAGCTGGAGGTGTGGCTCAGTTAATAGAGCCTTTCCCCAGCAGGCATGATCCCCAGGGGCTTGATCCCCAGGCAGGATAGTGCACACCTGTAATCCCAGAACAAAGGAGGCAGAAATAGGAGAGTTGGAAGTTCAAAGCCATTCTCAGTTACCTACATAGGGAATTGGAGGCCAGACTAGGCTAGAGACCCCGACTCACAAACAAATGGGGCTGGAGAGATGGCTCAGAAGTTAAGAGCACAGCTGCATGCTGCTCTTGCAGAGAGGACCAGGGTTTCATTCCCAGCACCCATTGGGTGGCTCATACCTACCTATACCTCCAGCTCCAGGGGGATCCTGTGCCTCTGGCACAGAGCCACCACACATATACATAACTGAAAACAAAATAAATTAAAAATGAGCGAGAACCAGATGTGGGAGCCGAGGTTCGAGAGGTGAAGAGGCTGGCCCAGAGCTGCACAGCTAGTCTCAGTATAACCTGGGGTTTAAGCACCGTCAGCCCAGGTTCTCGACTTTCTCTGATGGTGTCCCCACTCCACTGGCAGATACCATGTGACCAGCAGGATAGGGAAACCTGCCATAGCCACAGCCCTTGAGATTAATATGGGAGGGTGTGCAGGAAGCCCAGAGAGCTTAGGGTGAGGATTGGTACCACAAGTCTTTGTGTGGCACTGTAGGATGCCCTTCTCCATCCCTGCAAGGCACAGGATTCACAAAGAGACCCGTCCTAAGGACAGGTGCCCCTGTCCCAGTCCCAGCCTGAACCTGGCTCTCCAGGAGACTCCACCTTCCCCACTCTATGAGAGATCCCAGAGCTCACAGAGTGGTGAGGAGACACCTCACCACCGGTGTGGTCCAGGCAATGGCTCGGTTTCCATGCCTGTCACACAGACCTAACGATGGCTCCCCTCCAGGCAGTCCTGAGAGTCCAGTGGGACACGGGTCAGGCAAGGATCTGGCAATACAGCTGGGACAAAACTGGCAGTTGGCTATCAATGTTCAGAAAGTACCCCCGGGATCTACTCAGACAGTGGCCAGGTCTTAGCACGGCAAGGCATGAGAGTCTGGCCTTATCGAGAGAGAAATTGCCCTCTTTCCATAGTCTCCACTCAAGCTCTGCCTCTGACCACTCCGAACACCAGCCGATCCTTTGAAAGCCCCCAGAGTCCTGGCCAGTCTGCTCCTTAAGCTCTCAGCTTCCTCCCACACTCCACCCCCACGGTCCTTCTTCCTGTTCATTGAGCACTTTGCTCTCTTTGCTCCGGGACCTCTGCCCTTTCGGCCCATATACTCTTCCCCTACATGTCTGCACAGCTCCCTTCCTTGTAGTCACCCCTGAGGCCCTGCCTCTCATGGCCCTGCCTCCCATAGCCAATTAATTCCCAGAGGTCCTAACGAGCTCCACTCCATGCCTGGTCACAGTCACACTCCTTAGCTTTACCCTGCTGCCAAGTGCATCACCATCCACAGGCATCTTGCTTGTCCAACCGTTTTCTTTGCACTCCGTGCTCCGGTAGGGTAGGGGCGTCCACTCCAGTCTTGTCCCGCTCAACCCGTCAGCACCTGGGACAGCGCCAGGTACAGCGCTGTGGCTCCTGGCTGCACCCAGTGGACCAAAGAGTGACTGGATGGGTAAATGAATGTGTGACTGACTCTCCCTCTGCCAGGAGACCTCCGAGTTTCAGCTTTGTCCACCTCCAGAACACTGTCCCTTCCAAGTCTAACCAAATGCTCTTTTCTGCTCCGTTGCCAAGCAGGAGCTCCTGTGGCAGTGGATCTGTGCGATGATGTCCCTGTGGGTTGTGAGAATGAAACGCAGTCAGCTCTCCATGGCTGAGGGTTCATACCCTGGGTTTCAGGCAACCACAAACAAAAAACACCTGAGGAAAAAAATACATTTGTAAGAAACATACAGGGAATCCCCACTTGTATTTCCAGAGTTCACACTGTGTTAGGGCCCAGCGTCACTTAGAACGGCAGAACATGTGAGGGAGTTCTGTGCAAATACCGCATTTCATACATGTGTTGGGTCACAAGGGATGCTGGGCCCTGCCACTGTGGGATGCTGAGGGACCAACAGATGGCCACTATGGCTGTTGGTAGTAACAATGACATTTACTGATCACCCACGCCATGCTCAATGCTGTTTGTTTCCTGCTCATGGCTTAGGATGGGGTGGTCTATGCGTGTGCCCGCCACACCCTCTGGTTTGTGATGATATGTCACTTGGTAGCTTCCCTGTGGACTGGACCATGTTGGGTTGATTGGCTGCTTTATTTAACCAATGCCACTCCATGAATCAGAGGCCCTTTTGGTCCATTTTGCGCACGATAAGACTGAATTCAGAGAGCAATGGCTTCCCCTGGTTCCACAGGTTGTTTGCAGGATAACTGAAGTTTGAAACGAGGGTGATTGACTTCCAAAGCATGGGAGCCTTCTTCTGAATGCTGGGCACAGCCCAGTCCATCAAGCTTATACATATTTTATGAAATGCAAAGAGAGAAGGGGAAGGATATAGAAAAGTAGCCCCAAGCTCCGGGCTCTCGGCAGGCAGCATCATTAGGAAAACACAGATGAAGCCCGTCTGTTGATAAGCTTATTTGGGGTTCATCACCTGAGATCAGCACCACCAAAATCGAAATGCTTCTCTGACCTGACTGAAGCCTGGCTCCCTCCCAAGCTGGCAGGTGCCCTGCTGGATGTGGGCATGCAGGACTTGAACTTCAGAGCCCGTGGGGCCAAGAGGGGGAAGGGAAGAACTGCATCCAGGTGGAGCTGGCACCAGATGAGAAGTCAGATCCCTAGGTGCAGCCAGCACTGGTCTGTTGTCTGCCTGTCTTGTGAGAGCATGAGCATTGAGCCCCCAGACCAGGGGTCAGATCTCAGTGCTGCAAGTTGTTCAGCATAGCCTTGAGCAGGTCACGTCATATCTCCGAGCTTCCGTGGAAGCACCCAACCTCTGATGGCCATGAGTCAAATGGAGGGTGCTGAGAGCCAGGCACTGCCTGGAACAGTGTGCACGCATCGCACATCGCTCCCAACCCCACGACAGCCAGGGAGTGGCTTCACGACCCCATCTAACCAGGAAGGAACACGGGAGCAGAGAGGTTGAGCCAGTTGCCCCAGGTTCTGCCCTTGAGGGAGGGAACTGCACAGAAGTCACAGGAGTTGTCTGGGCCACACAACTGGTCGGGGAGAGCCGGGGAGTGAGACCCAGCTTGATTTCAAAGTTTCCTTCAGATAACAGGGAGGCTTGGGCTGAGCATGAAGGAGGGACATGGGGAGGGCTGTGTGACCCTGTTCAGGAACAGCAGGGAAGCCCACTCCCCATCTCCTCCGGTGGAAGACTCAGACACTTCATGTAGAAATGATTGAGTCCCATTTCTCACCGAGAACCAGAGGATCAGAGAAGTTAAATGACCTGCCCAAGGTCACACACACAGCAGCTTAAAAGGCGGAACAGACTCTGTCCCAATTCTCTCAGAATCCAAAGTCTTTATTGCTCACGGTGGAGGGACAGTATCTCTTCCTTCCTTTTTTTTTTTTTTAAGATTTATTTATTTATTATGGATACAGTGTTCTGCCTACATGCATGCTTGCAGGCCAGAAGAGGGCGCCAGATCTTATTACAGATGGTTGTGAGCCACCATGTGGGTGCTGGGAATTGAACTCAGGACTCTAGAACTGTCAGTGCTCTTAACCTCTGAGCCAGCTCTCCAGCACCCAGTATCTCTTTCTTAAGCCGTATAACCCAGCTGGGGACACGGCTCAGTTGGTAAAGTGTTTTGCACATAAGCACGAGGACCCGGAGCTCACGTAAGAAAAGCTGGGCTTGAGTCCACGCTCGAAATCCCAGGACTGGGGAGGCAGAGACAGGTAGGTCCCTGGGGCTCACAGGCTAGCTCACGAGGTGAGTTCCTGGCCAGTGAGGGACTTTGACTCAAAAGGCAAGGTAGAAAACACCTGAGGAGCAACACCTGATGCTAGCTGGCTACAGTGTGCACATGCGTATGGAAGTGTTCGCCCCATACACATGTGCACACACACACACAAGTACACAGATACATGAATGTCCACCCTACACACAAATATACACACATATGTGCACATATACCTGTGAACATACATACACTCAAACGGTATATATATTTTTATATAAATATATATGCACATATCTCCACTCATTCATTGATTCCATTCATAGGTGCCACACACTCTGTCCAGTGTCCTCTTTCGTCTCCTTTGGTTACGTGATCATCAGCTCTGTTGGTTTGGGGTCGCCCACCTCCAACTGACATCATCACCTAATCCAGGGACAGTGTGACCATCTACCACAGGCAATATTCTGAGGTGTTGGGCTTAAGAATCTGGTGTCTCCTCTTGGGCAGGGGCTGCGCATAAGACACAGGTCTCCTCAAGGCATCCCCGGCAGAGTTTCTAATCCCACTTGTCAAGTGGGGAAATGATGTCTCCGGGAGCCCAATTCTGTGGCTAGGTGCCTCAAACCCAGGTCTGGCTGACTCTGGCACAGCGGGATACCTCAGAAGCCTGTTCACAACAGTACAGAAAAAAAAGCATGCAAACCTGCTTACGTTCAACCACCCTCTTAGCAGATGGCCTCCATCAGAGACAGGGGAATTCCATGAAAAAAATTAATGAGAGCCGAAAAAAAGTGTGAAGAGAGGAGAATTCAGTGCAGGAGTCCTCACATGCTGGATTCTGGGCTGGGCATAAATGCCAGCCTGGGCCCCTTAGATATTTCAGTGGTCTCTGGGGTCCTAGAAATGCTGATGGATTGTGTGAACTCAGCCATTAATCCCCCTTCATGTGGCCTGTGACACAGTGTCCCTATTTTACATACCTGAACTCCCCTGCCTCTGAGAGGGTCTGCCACTGCAGTGGGATTTGAGCACAGGTCCCAGGAAAGGCTGAGGAGGGTTCCAGGGTTGTCCATCACAAGGCTGAGCTCAAACATGACAGTGCTGTGACATTCCAGGGGTTGGGACCAGATTGGCTGGCAGGGAGAAGCCACCTGGTCCTGCCCAGGGGAGGTAGGAAAATCAACTCAGCTTGTGTATCCTGACAGTGACTTCACGGGGCAATAGTTTGTGACAGGCTTGTGTTCAAATCTCTGTGTTCAAAGCACAGAGGACCCTGTGTTTCCCTTCTGTTGACAGATGAGGGAACAGACATTCTCGTGTTCTTTCAACAAATATGGGACATCTCAGTTTAATGCTAGCCTGGGGACAGCCTGGTAGAGTTGAGCACCATTTGATGGTCCAGGTAGACCCCTGAATTCTCAAAGCTCTGGGTTCCATCCCCCAAACAATACGATACCAACTGAAAAAGGATTCTCTGCCATAGTGAGCATATCGTTTCAGACTGAAAGTCTAGACTTGGGGGAGAAGGACATGTGATCCAACCCTAACTGTCACCAACCCCAGGGAGTCCTCCCTCTCTGTCCCCGACCCTAGTGTATGAGCAGGGTGGAGAAAACTCCAGGGTCCTGCCTCAGGGTAATATGCCAGAAATGGCAGCTTTGGAGGAGACGAGCCTGGGCTTGGGTTTGGTCTAAGAACTTCCTTGTGGGCGGCTTCAGCAAGTCAATGAGCTTCAGCATCAGGGTTCTGGGGGGTGTCCGTCTGTCCTGCCATGCCACTGGGCTGCAGAAAAGATCTGATACCTGGGCTTCAACACTTCTTAATTCTCTCCTCCCTCTCTCCTCCTCACTCTCTCTCTTCCTCCCCCCCACCACCACTTACTGCCCTCCTGCACAGACAGAACTTGGTACTGGCTGTTGTCATATTTGGTCTGGCAGAATGCCAGTGTCATGAGCCAGGGGAGGCAGGTCTGCACTGCCAGCTTCAATCTGTAAGAATTCGGGGCATGGACCTCATGCCCTGCCTTGAGTCCAGCAGGCTGGTGGGTGGGCAGTGCTACCGACCCTAACTGGGTCAGGGAACCCCTGTAGGGAGGCAGGTGAGATCTGCCTATAATCCCAGCACTCAGGAGGCAGAGACAAGAGGATGTTAATGTCCTAATGACTGGCTTTCCTGTTTGTAAAATGGATCCCAGTGGGGCTGGAGAGATGGCTCAGCAGTTAAGAGCATACGCTGCCCTTGTAGAGGACATGAGTAGTGCGGTCCCAGCACCCACATCAGGCAGTTCACAACCTCCTGTAACTCCAGGGGATTCATCTGCACACAAACACACATACACACGCATGCACAGGCATGCACTTTTTAAAAAAGGGTTCCTAAAAAGCTTGTGAAATTTGAGTTTCAAAAAGTCAAGAAGGCTGGGAGCATGGCTCCATGGCAGAGTGCTGAGTGAGTATGTGTCGGGCCCTGGGTTTTACCTGAAACAGAAATAAACAAGCTTAGGCCCCAAGTGAAGCATGTGGGAGACCCTGCCCTGCACCTACAGCACCCTATCAGCTGAGATTCTGAGATGGGAGGCATTTAGGATGCCAGAAAGAACAAAGGCCAGCAGGACCCTCCGGAGTTGTCCCTAGTGATGAGCTCACAGGAGGGATGGGGGCCGGGCGCGGCTAGAGCAGCAGTTCTCCCTTTGAAGCCAGACTGTTCTCAGCGGAGCCCATCACCTCTGTCTTGTGAAGCAAGTCCAGATTGCCAGGATGGAGATTGGTATTCGGCAGAGCAACAGCCACATGTGGTGGGGGTGCATCCCCCCGCAAGCCCCGCCCCCAAGTCCAAGGACAGGGAGAGGATCCCTTCCTGTTTAACCTGGGCAGCCTCCTAGGCAGAGACGCATCACATGGCATTGAGGTTTTCTTCGTCTCTCCCTGGGACCGGGCTGGGTCCTTCTCCATTTAATTCTGGGACCTGGCTGGGTCCTTCTCTTCCAAGGGAAGGGGCAAGAAGAGCCTGTGCGGGTCCCAGAGGCCCGCACGTGAATCTTTATCCAGCTGTGAGCTATGAAAGAGAATGCCAGGTCTTCCCAGTGTGCAGGCACGTCCCAACCACCCAGAAGAGGGATCTGGAGCCAGGCTGTGTGTGTCCAACCTTGGCTTCGTTTGTACAAACTGTGTTACCCTGAGCAGATGACCACCTCTCTGGACCGCAGAATAGAGATAATGTTCTCTCAGAGTCTTGGGGAGGATTCAGTAAGTTGTGTGTGTAAAGCATCGACTGCAGCTTGCATCCAGGTGTTGGGGACATGTTAAGAAAAAGCGAGAAGAGATTGTGCACAAACTGTAAAGTGCTGTCTTTGTGTGTGAGTTTCCGGTTGACAAACAGAAAAGCGATGTGTTCACGGTGTTAACAACTGGATGGTTCTTAGATATCGTTTAAAGTGACTCTTGGATGGGAGCATTCACTCAAGTCCACCAGAGATATAAACTGTAAAGTGGCTTACCCTGCCCAGTGAATGGCCAGTTTCTCATTCTGCTCACCAGAACCTTGCACCCAGCACATACAAGACGGTACAATAGGAGCATTTGTGAGTCCTTCCACTCCAGCAGACCGATGGGTGGTTCCATCCCCACGGCACGGAAAACAGGCCTTGGGAAGGTCCGCCCATCGAAGCCCCATAGACCAGAGCTGGGAAGTAACGGAGTGCAGGGAGACCTGAACCTTGAACTGTCCAAGTGCAGCGAGACCCTTGAGGCAGCCCACAGCAAGGAGCGGACCTTCCAGACCCTCCATGGCCACTAAAACAGGCCTATCCTGGGTGAAGTGAGGCTCCTTCTGGGCTAGGGGCGTGGCCCCAGGAGCCAGTGTCACCAGGAAACGGATGTCCCTCCTGTCTTCAGGGCCTGCAGCCTCACCCATCAGTGCCCACTGCCCTGACTGGCCAGCATTTCCCTCCCCTTGTTTGTGCCCTGAGGGCACACTTGGCAAAGCCAGACAGCCAGGGCCGTGACAGGGACCTCCTCCTCCTGCAGCCCTCCCGCTTCATCCACAGCTGTCCCTAAGTCTTCCTCTTTCCTCACAGCCAAGTACATCGGCTGCTACCTGGACGACACCCAGAGCCGGGCCCTGCGAGGCGTGTCCTTCTTCGACTACAAGAAGATGACCGTCTTCCGTTGCCAGGACAACTGTGCTGAACGGTAGTGACACTCACCCCACCACCTCTGCCATGTCCCCGGACATGTCCCTTCCAACCCTTTCCGCCAAGGCAGGGTCCCTTCCATGGTGTTCTTTGCCTTGCCATGGAGAGAATGTCAGAGGGTGAACAAGGGGCCATGGAAACAAAGGATTGCATGCATGATTGAAGTGTGTGCATGCGTGTGTGTTTGCGTACATGCATGTGTGTGCATATATCCACATACATGTGTGTGCACAGAGATGTATACGAATGTGGTCTGTGGCATAGGACCGCAACTGTAAGCACTGTGCCGAGGAGCTGGTAAGGTACGGTACGCATGGTCAGCTGGTTACCTTGGTGAGCGGAGTCCTGACACCCGACTGTCTAAGAAATGGTGTTTGTGTGGCCATAAGTCTTTTCAGTCCTCTTGCCTCAGGCTCTGGGAGTGGATGGATGGCAGGCCTGTGCCGTCATGTCCGGTTTTAAACTCCACTCTTTAAGAGGGCAGTTTGCAAACGCTCTGTGGACTCCCAGCGCTCCAAAGCCAGGGGTTCAGCTGGCATACAAGCCCCTTCCCTGGCTGGAATCACTGAGCCCTCTCTAGAACAATGCCCCTTCTCCTCAGCCATCATCCCTTCTGGCTCTGAGTTACCGGCTGTCTCCTGTTTCAGAATCAATACTTTTCTTTTCTTGGGAAAGGTTGCTTCTGTCAGTGGGTTCCATGGTAGGAGAGGGGTCCAGGGAATGTCTGAGACACAGGCTTAGAGAGACAGGGACATGGAGGCAAGTGAGGTTCCAAGATGCTCAGTCACGTCAGCTGCTTTCGCTTCATCTACCAGAGAGAGCAGGTGGATGGTGCATGCCACAAGTCACCAGGGCATGTGTGGGCACAAACCTGGGTGGCTCTGCCCACCCACCCAGCACTGAATAGGGACCCAGGAGACAGCTGTTGCCACCGACAGCTCCTCCAGGGACATGTTTTTGCAGATTTCTCTCTAAGGGGCCCTCATGGCTTTGGAGACTGTCTCTGGGAGCGCAGTGGTTAGGGGGCTGGCAAGACCCCCCACTTCCCGGAATCCTCAGCCAGAGCCCACATGTGTTTAGACTGGTGTCCACTGCGTATCCTTTTTAGGGAAGAATTCCACGGCAAGGAAAAAATAGCCTAACCTCAGGGCTCCTGGAATTTTGTTTTGCTTTGTTTTCGGGGAAGAAATTCTTTTCTTGGCTGGGTATGTGAGCTTGGTTTTATAGCTTGCCAGAGGGATACAAGCGCCCCGCCTCCTCCTCCTCCTCCTCCTCCCCAGTGCTTCTCAGGGGACCTGGCAATGAGGTGTCTCCTTGGGTGATGCTTCCTGGAAGGCAGAGGTTGGGTTCTGCAGTGGTGAGAGAGGGATGGGGGAGGGGCGAGGTGGTGGTGACGGTGGTGTGTGTGTATATGTGTGAATACGAGTGAATGTGTGTGTGTGTGTATGAATAAAAGTATCTGTGAGTGTGTGAATATGTAAGAGTGAATGTGTGTGTGTGCACACAAGTGAATGTATGTGTATGTGCATATGTGTGTGTATATGTACGAATGTGTGTGTGTGTGCGAGAGTGAATGTGCGTGAATGTGTGTGTACATGGGTGAATGTGAATATGTGTGTGAATGTGTATATATGAGTGAGTGTGTATGAGTATCTGTGAATGTGTGGATATGTATGTGTATGTATAAGCGAACGTGTATGTGTGTGTGTGTGTGTGTGTGTGTGTGTGTGTACAGAGTGAATGTGTGTGTTATGTGTGAGTATGAGTGTTAATATGGACATGGAGAGTAGTATGGGGATACAACACATCAGGCAGTGATGAGGGCTGGTGGGTGTCCCCAGGATGTTCTCCCCGTCCCCAGGGGTCTCTGAATTCCCCCCGCACACACACACACACACACACATACACACACACACACACACACACACACACACACACACACACACACAGTGCCTCGGGCCCTCTGACTCCCCACCTCTGTGACTCCCAACAGGTGACCCTGCCCTTTGGAGTAGTTATGACCCCCATTCCTCCCCCAAGGTCCCGACCCCTCCAACCCCTTTGTCTCCTTTCTGAAGTCTCCTGTGTTCTCATCCCTTGGCCTCCAGGCCTCCGGGAGACTCTGTCCACCTCCTGTTACCCCAAAGTCTCAGGGTCCTGTTCCCCAGGGTTTCTCCCACTGCGTCCCCTGTCCCCCGGGGTCTCCCTGTCCATACTGCCCTGCCTGACAACAGCCCTCCCCCAGGGGTTACCTGTACGCTGGGCTGGAGTTCGGCGCTGAGTGCTACTGTGGCCACAAGATCCAGGCGGCCAACGTGAGCGACGCGGAGTGTGACATGGACTGCAAGGGAGAGCGGGGCAGTGTGTGTGGTGGTGTCAACCGCCTCTCAGTCTACAGGCTACAGCTGGCCCAGGAGTCTGCCCGCAGGTGTACGTGAGTTCGCCCCGCCCCTCTGCTGTGGCACGCTAGCCCTCCACTGCCCACTCCGAGGGCCTGATGGTCTCATCCTCAGTGTCTGCCCTGTACCTTCTAGGACACCCCATCACTCCAAAGCCACCATAGGCTTCATCGCCCACCCTGGTCTTCACTCCAGCCACTAAACATTCCTGTGACCCTGCCCTCCTCTGCCCCCTGAATCTGAACCTGACCTTGGCCTGTCTCCTCTGAGATGAAATTGTATCCATTGCCTAGGACAATGTAGTAACCGAGACCGTAAGGGCACAAAGCCTTTGTCCTCTTCCGAGCACTTTATGCAGACTAGGCCATGTCATCGTCACAGTGACCTTTGAAACAGACACAAGGAAAGCCAGACCTCACGGCTCAGGCCTGATGTCCCTGCTCCTGGGGAGGCTGGTGGGGCATGATTCCAAGTCAAGGCCAGCTTGGGCTACAGAGGAAGTTCGAGGCCAGCCTAGGCAACATAGTGAGAACCAGTCTCAAAACAAGTTTAAGGGGTGAGAGGGGGTTGGGGATGTAGTTCAGTGTTAGAGGCCTCACCTGTCACACACAAAGCCCTGGGTTCAATCTCCAGGACCACAAACTAAAAAGAAAGGAAAGGAGGAAGGAGGAAGGGGGAAGAGAGGAGGGGGGAGGGGGAGGAGAGGCAAGCATGAGGCATTGCTTTTACTTGCTCCCATTTGAGGCGAGAAACCTGTCTCCTTGTCACGGCTCTGAGCAGTGGGGGACTTTCTCTAGCTCAGCAGACTTCCCACAGTTCCCCTGGGCTTTGCTAGTGTTCCCAGCTTGAGCCTGGCTGGAAAAACTCTGCAGTTTGCAAACTAAGGAGAGGGGGTGGTGGAAGAGGGACGGGGAGACGCCTCTGCTGCGGCCATCGTCCCTCCGCCCCTTCCTGAGCAGGCAGTGTTGAGTCCCAGTTATTAGAGTCTGCTGGTGACCAGGTGCTATGCTCAGGGCAAGCCTGACTCCATGTCTCCTCCCCACAGCCTTTCCCAGGAGTTGCCACTGGCAACGATCGCTATCTACAGACAGGGAATGGAGGCTTTATGAATTGAAGTAATTTTGCCCAGGTCCACACAGGCAGGGGGAAAAAAAAACAAAGGAAGAGCTTTGTCTTCATCAGGGTTTCTATTGCTGTGATAAACACCATGACAGAAAAGTTACTTGGGGAGGAAAGGGTTAATTCCACTTCTCCGTCACAGTCCATCATCCCAAAATGTCAGGGCTGTTCCCAAGGCAGGAACTGAAGCAGAGGCCATGCAGCACCGTGGCTTAACTGGCGTGCTCCTTATGGCTGGCTCACCCTGCCTTCTTAGGACACCCAGAGCCATCAGCCCAGGGCTGGGCCCCTCCCACATCAGTCAACGGAAGTGTACCACAGGCTCGCCCACAGACCGACGTGGCAAGGACCTTTTCTCAACTTCAATTTCCTCTTCTAAACTGACTTGAGCCTGTGTCAAGCTGACACAAAACTAGCCAGCCGCAGGCTTCTGGGGCTCTTCAGCCAGGCCCCCACTTCAGCATGCCCGATATCCCTGGAGACCTTGTTAAATGGAATAATTCTTGTACTTGTTACTTTTCTCTTGCTGTGGGAAAACACTATAACCAAGGCAGCTTACAGAAGGAAGAGATTATTTGGGTTCATGGTTCCAGGGAGAGGAGAGGCCATCGTGGCAGGGAGGCAGGAGCGGAAGGCTGAGCGATTGCATCTCAGCCGCAAGCGTGGAGCAGAGGGCAAGTGGGAATAGCACCAGGCTTTGAACTCTCAAAGTCCAGTTCCAGGTGGTGGTGGCGCATGCCTTTAATCCCAGCACTTGGGAGGCAGAGGCAGGCAGATCTCTGAGTTCGAGGCCAGCCTGGGCTATAGAGTGAGTTCCAGAATAACCAGGGCTGCAGATGAGGCCCTATCTCAAAAAATAAGCAAGCAAACACAAACGAAAACTCTCATCGTCCACCCCCAGTGACCTACTTCCTCAAGCAAGGCTGTGTCTCCCAGAACCTCCCCAAACAGCACCACCAGCTGGGAGCCAAGTGTTCCAATGCCGATGATGGAGAACATTTTCATTCGAACTACCGTGACCTTGTTTCGTTTGGGTTTTGGCTTTTGCAGTACCTGGGAATGGAACCCGGGATCTCAAACATGCTAGGTTAACTGCTCTCTACAACCCCTATCTTCAGCCTTAAACTCAGTCTGAAGCCCAGGCAGCCTTGAACTTGTGAAGCCGCTGCCTCAACCCCCAGAGTAGCTGGGATGACAGGTCTGAGCTACCAGGCACAGCTGGGTTCTACACCCCTAAGGTGCCCACAGCTTATTCCAGGCTGTTGGCCCACAGCTCCCATCCTCGGTATAGGGAGGCAGGAATACACAGGTGTGTTTGGCAGAAGTTCCATGCCTGGTTGTCTGTGGGGACAGGGTATCTTCTCTGTGGCTGTCTCTATAACAGCGCATCACTGGGTAATGTGTACAGGGCTTGAGGTCCCGAACTCTGGCGACCTCGCGCAAGCTTTGCCCTGCAGCTAACCGGGTTGAACGAGCTACCAGTTTGCAAATGTACCAGTCACACCATCTGCCTCGGTCACCTCCGTTCAGGTCTGAAGACCCAGCTGGCAAAGCTCGGAGGTGGGAAATCTCAGCTAGAGAAAACCCATGCGGCGGGTCATCGGTGCGACAAGGCTTTGGGTGGCAGATTCCCCATCCTCATGATTGACTTCATTTGAACTGATATCAAGTCATTAAAATGGAGACATGTTGGCCATCTGAAAAGATGGCCTCAAAGTGTTGCAGTCACTTAGAGAGGCTGCTGCTGCTGCTTGCGGATGTACCTGGGATGGGTGGGAAAGATTTAGGTTGCGTGTCTCGCTGACTAGATAACCCTGGGACACCACCACCCCCAGTTCTGTGATGTAACACTTAAATCAAAAGCTTCTCAATTAGGTGAGATGTATAAGACACATAGATGGTGGGGATCTCTTCTGTGAGGTGGTCCTTACACATGTAGGGAGGACTGGGCTGAGCAGGGATGTATCCTCCTTGTTCAGCCTGCCCACCTCTGTGATAGTAGACGTCCCCTGCCTGAGAAAAGCATCTTTGTCATCTTTGTGTTGTGTCATATCCAAAAGGAGATGCGGTCATTTCTACTGAGAACTCTGCATCCTCAGACCATCAGAATGTGGTATACAAGGTGTGAAGCCTTCCACCAGAGAACTAAAGGAAAGCCCAAGCCTCAAGGCTGCTTCCCTTGAGACAAGAATGAAGGTAGTGTGGACAAGAAGACAGGCGGTTGACCAGATGTCCAGCCAGGATGCCTACTAGGCTCCCACTCAGCAGTCAGCACATGGCATATGGAGGAACTGAAGCAGAGCACTGTGCACTTTCATGTAGATGCAGTGTGGGAGGTATATCCTCTCTTCCAAGGAAGCCACAATCCTGGGGTAACAGTTGGATGCCAGTTGGGTTGGTTCAGCCACGGGAGTAAGCAAAGCAGACTGCAGAGGCTGCCTGAAGGAGCCAAGGGGACACGAGTGGAATTCTCTTCTCAGAAGAGTCCAGGTGAGCGAGAAACCAGTGTTCAGCCAGGAGCAACAGTCCAGATTCAGCAAATGTCTTGTTGGAATAATCTTCACCATCTGTCTCCATTATACACTTGTGGAAACTGATGTACAGAGAGCAGAAATGACTCTATGGAACATCCTGGAAGACACCATAGAAGGGGACACATTTGGTGGGGGGTCCTCAAACAGTGGATTAAAGCTTTCTCTGGTAGAGAAGGAAAGGGCACCCAGATTTGAGACACATTACCAAGGAACCTGGAAAAAATCTAGACAAAGAGAGCTAGACCTGAGGAGGCCTGGGTACACATCGGGAGGAGTGACGGGCACATCTTTCTGATGCCATGGTGCCTTCTGAGGACTGGGGCGGCTGCAAACAGGTTTCTGACTCCCATTTGGAACGTCTCTTCTGCAAGGACTCAGTTTTACCTAACTCCTCCCTCCTCTGGCCCATCCCCCCTTTCCTGCCTCCTGGCTCTAAGATTCTTGACGTCTCTGCTGCCTTCACCCTGACTCCAAAGCACCCTTGACTCCCATACCTGGGATCTGCGTTAGCCATAAACAACTCGGAAAGGTGTGTTGTTGTCCAAGTCCCTGGCTCACAGCCAGCTTAGCATGGGTAACCTGGGTAAAGAAGTGAATGGTCTTTTCAGGAATGGTAGGGGAAGAAACAAGACTCCATTTGCAGAGTTTCTTGAGAAACCGCACAGAACACTTGTAATCAAGATCCTATGGGGACATTTTTTTCCTGAGTGCCGCACGGGTAGGCCTGTGAGGAGGTCGCTTGTTCCCGTAGCAAGCAATGAAGACTTTCAGAGGTGGGCTGAGCCAATCTCTGCCCTTCTGCCTTCGCACAGACTCTGGGGCACACAGATTCATTCACTCTTGGTACAAAAGAACCGAGAAATGGACTATCTTCTTGGTGAGATTACATTTGTCACACCCATTTGCTAAACGTGCCATTGAGTTTAGCTTTCTCCCCCGAGGGACAGACCAGCTGGTAATCGGAGAACGCTGTGATTTTACAGGAGGTCACAAGAGAGTGTGTTTGCCTGAAAGGTGCTTGCAGGATTTGGGTGGAGAAGATAGGGCCGCCGCCTCTGAGCTGTGCTGTGCTGTGAGGAGTTCCCAGGGTGCCGTGTGTGGCTGTCCATGGTGCTGACTGCCCTCTGCTACAACTCAGACCCCATGACTGCCACCCAGCTTTCCCTGGGCTCTGTTCTTTCTTCCTTCTCCCCCCTTCTCCCCCTCACTCTGGTTCCCACTCTCATCTCTGCCCCCTCTCCTACCTTAATGAGGCATTATGAAGTTCACAATAACACTGAAGAATCCGGCGGATACCTCCTAGCTGGGGTAATGAATTCTGCCCATGATTGTTAGTTCTGGAATCTCCAGAACTCTTTGAGAGTTGGGAGGAGAATGCCATGTGGTCTGTGCTTTCCACTCATTGGTCTGTCCTGCCGCTCTTACCTCCAGCTTGTCCAGGAAGCTCATGTCTCTTTGGACGGACCTTGCCATCTCCTTCTCTGCCAGACTCTAACAGATGGTACTAGTGACTCTCACAATCACAGGAGACAGTACTGATCGTAACAGGTGGACTCGGCTTGAGCTTCTCAATTCAAAATTCACAGAGGCAGGGAAGGCAGACACAGGGGGTCATGCGGGTTTTCCCACTCATTTTTATTTCTTTGCTACACTGACTCTGGCCAACCTACAGATCCATTCTGAGCCTCTAAACATTTTCTGTAAATTAGGGACAACCCCCAGCCATCACTGGAGCCACAAAGTCTAGACAGCATCAGCATGGTGCACACCGCTCTTCCCTGAGTCCCCAAGTTGGCTCTGAGAACTACCCAGATCAAGCTACTGGGATTTCCAACACCCCAGGATCTTCTGGTGATGTATAAAAATAGCTGCCTTGAGCCCCCTTGGACAGGGAGGCTCTTTGTGTAATTCAGTGTCTTTCTGACTGTGGGTAGCTCATTGGCTAAGAACAGCTTCCAGCTAGCAGCATCCCCTTGCCAGCATCTTGAATGCAATGGAACTTGGCCTAATTACCCAGGGGGTGGTGGCCTCTTTCTGACCAAGGAGAATTCCTCCATGTCTGCCTCTGAGCTGGCGCTGGGTGACATTTACCTCATTTTTTTGTGAAGCATCAGAACAATGAAGGGACAAGACTTCAGAGACTCTGGCACCTGCCCCCAGCAAAGAATGTCAATGTGCCATTGTTCCACTCAACTCTTTCTGGTAGAAAGTTCAAGCTACCGGGGTCACGCGTGCCCCCGTGAGACTGCCAATAAGAGCCGACATTGTCAAAATGTGGGGCACGAGCTTCTGCAACCGCCTCAGGATCCTGCTGTGGAGCCTGAGAAGAATTCTGGGAAATAAGCGTGGCTGGCATGGGGTCTCCAGAGCCCCCACCTTAGCACTGGGCACAGCTCATGTGGAGAATCGAAGATGGGAAAGCGTCATTGATGTGCATGAAGACTGGGTCAAAAGCCAGCTCTGCTCCCCGCTGGCTGTGGGACCTGGAGACAGGGTCCTTCTAAGTCTTGGGCTCTCTGCCTGTAGGACAGGGTAATAGTTCAGATGACCTCACGGGCCATTGTGAAGGTGAATGAGATACTCTGTGGGATATCCCCAACACCACGGTGCACATGGAAAGCCGCTGTTACAGTCGCCATAACTGCTCTTTGGTAAGGGCTTCGGTGGAACGTGACCAGGAAGTGTCACTCGATCTGTGCCCGGTGAAAGGCTGTGACCCTGGCCTCTATAAGAGATTCTTCCTTAAGAGTTCTTACACTGCTTCTCCGGATACAAGGTGACTGGAGGCTGGTGCCACAGAGTCTCTGCTGGGGAATGGAGTAGCAAGACGAGAAGCAGCCAGTGAAGAGTCTTTTATGGAACTAACCGCTCATGAAGACTTCCCCTAGGCCCTCTGGAACTCTCTGGAACATGGCACTATTTAAGCTTCAGAGGTGATCTGCCCAAGGAACAGAAGGCTGGACTCTTTATTCCCTGACTCTTACCCATGTCTGGCTGAGGATGGCTCCTGGGGAAGTCATCGTGTCTAGGCCACCCTTATCCTGTCCTGGGATGGGCATGCCTGTTAAAGGACACAGACAGTAGTTGCTTCTTAGTCCTAAGCCTCTGTGTGTGCAAGTGAAGGCGAGGTCAGTTCCATTCACAGATGAGGAAAACTGAGGCTCCGTGAAAAGTGAAGATGACCATCTAAATCCCCTAACCCAGATAAGTCAAGCTTCCGTAGCCAGTCCATCTGGGTGATCCCCTTTGCACTGGACTCCAGAGATTTTTTTTTCCAACATAAAAACATCATCCTAGTCCTGTGGAAATCCAAACATGTTTATGCCACAGAGAGGCTGAAGGGAGCCGCTGGCCACCTCAGTTTTATTTTCAAATCTAAGAGACACTAGAGCCGACAGTCTTGTGACAGGTACCAAAAAATGGGAGCAGGAAGGCAGTGGGAACACCCAGGGTCCCAACCTCCATTGGCATGCTCAGTGTCCAGTTGGCCAAGCTGTAGTGCACAGCCACTTAAAGAGAAGTGGCCTCCACTGGGCTCTCCAGACTCCTGAGAATCAGCCGGACCCTTTCCTTGCTGACTTTACTGGGCTTCAGGAGCCTTGTGGCTCTGCGGTCCTCCCCAGGGGTTCAGAACAGGAACACCCCACATTCGGGAGACTGGCTGCTGCTGGGGCCGACTCTCAGCCTGCTGCCCTCTGCACCTGTTCCCCCAAGCCGCTGTCTCCATCCCTTTGAGAATCTGCAGCCCTCGCCTTATCTGAAATCGGGGCTTCCTGTTCAACCCTCCTCCCTCAATCGGGGCTCTGCTCAGTGAGCAGCTGCTTACAGGTCAAAGTAGACTCCTTCCGGCAGCACAGGACTACAAAGTCCTCAGTCTCTCCCTGTCCTTTGCAGTCTGGACTCCTGATGTCCAGCCTGGGGGTCCATACCTCTCTCCCCTTGCTCTCCGTCTCAGGGCAGCAGGCAAGGAGGCAGACCTGTCACAAGATGAGCTCACCAGGCTCCTTCACATCATTCCTCATCCAGACCTGAGAACATTGAGGCTGTGGGAAGCCAGAGATGTTCTTAGCTTTCTGGGAAGAGATGTCCCCTATGTGGCCTGGACTCTGGTCAAGGCCTGCCTCTCCTGCTCCCTCTCTGTACAGTACATTGCCCCTTAGATTCTGCTCAAAGGACCATTGAGAGATGCTGGGCCCTCAGTATATTCTGTGCGTCAGCCCAGCACGGCAGGTTAACTAAGGTTCAGCCTTGCCCTGAGCTAGGTAGAGGGAGCCCTGCCATTGCTAACTGGTAGGCAATCCAGAGAGAACTCATGGGGTTTCTGTCTCTGCATTGCACCTTGATATACAACTGCAGACGCCACAGAAGCGCACGGTCACATGCACCAACCATGGTCAGATGCTGGGCCAGGAAGCCAGCAGGGCGGATAGACACACACCTACCCCCTCCCCCTGGACTGCCTCTGAAGAAACCCACAGGGTCACACCTGCATCTCAGAGTTTGGAGTCTCTGTGCCCAAATAGGTAGATCCAGCATGGACAGTCTCACACACACACACACACACACACACACACACACACACACACACACACATACATCCATATCCTTCCCAGGGTCCAAATACATACTCACTGGGCCCTAAATGCCTTCACCCTCATCCCCTTGGATGAGACAGACATGCTCCTTCCCATGTGCCCCAACACCCTTCACCTCCTGACTGGACTCTGCCCTTTCTCGGGGACTTGGACACCAACAGGGTGATTTGATGGGGCTCAGAGAAGGCCTGAGCTAGTGGGTAAGAGTTTGTTCGGCTACTAGGAAGAGAAACAGGCTCCAAGAGACCCAAGCCTGGGTCAGCACAGCCTCAGTGAGAACTGTCAGAGCAGGAAGGAGACAACCACCAAGCCAGCGCCTCCCTGGCCCGTGAGCTGAGCTGGCATCCCGCTAACAGTGGTCTCTGGCCAACAGAGATTCATACAGGCTATTGCATAGGCTTTCTGCCTCGTTGTCTAAACCTCTGGCTCAGAGACCATGCCCCCTTCCCTCCCTTCCCTGCCCCTCCCCTGCATGGCAAATGTGGTAAGCTTCATTCACCAATCCCCAGGTGGCCTGATGGGTCTTCCTTCTGTGTACCCCACCCATGCAGCTGAACCCATGGGAGACCCCAGAGTTTCTTGTAGGGCATTGGTGGCTTTGGGTGTGACGGTTCCTTTTTCCGGTGTTAGAAAAGCTGTGCTGTACAGAGGATGTGGTTCTGTACTCCAGCCCTCCCAATGCCGGTGACGCCCCAAGATATCATGGTAATCAAAGGTGACCCCATACTTTCCCAAATACCTACTTGATAAGGTACTCTAGTCCCTTCTCCCCATGTCCATGTGGGGAAACTGAGGCCTGGAGAGAAGACACAGACACTGAGCAGCATTCTGTCCAGTGCTGCCGCCTCCAGCCCCTCCCGCACCAAATGGGACTAAAGACAGAAATCTGAGACAGCCCAGGACAGCATATACGCAGGCATGATGTAAGAGTCGCCCTGTAAGTCTGTGCTGTGGGCCAATGCCCCTGTGAGCTCAGGCTGCAGGTGTCCGATGGTAGAAATGACCATGAGGATATCTTTGAGACCTAAAGCTTACGCATGCTATTCATGAACACCACATTTGGCTATTCAAGTCCACAGGACTTGATGTCAACAGCCCTGGTCCAGCTCTCAAGCCCCAGGGAGTTCCTAGAGAGCTGCTGGTCTTCAGTCTGCATTGGGATCCTGGAGAAGTGAGTTCCAATAACAGAGAAGGAAGGCCTCCGCAGCAGGATAGATGAACTTGCCAGTGAGGGTGAGGGCAAGCTGGCAAAAAGAAAAAGCTTTCTTCTTCCACGTCCTTATGTGGGGGCTGCCCCCAAAGGTGTGGCTCAGATTTAGGGTGGGTCTTCCCACCTCAAGTGATCCAATCAAGAAAATCCCTCGCAAGCCTGCCCAGCTACCTGGGCTTTAATTGGTTCCAGATGCAGTCAGATTGACGATCAAGATTAGCCACCTCTAGGTCTGACAGCTCTGTCTGCCTCTTCAGATGGAAGTGCGGTGTTCAGGGGCTGCTTCCGCCGACCCAACAACCTCTCCCTGGCCTTGCCTGTGACGGCCGCCATGCCAAACATGTCCGTGGACAAGTGCGTGGACCTCTGCACAGAGAAGGTAAGCTGGGGCTGTTTGCAGCCTCGGGGGTGCAAGGACAGGGTGGCATGAAGCCTAAGGAGCAGGATGTGGGGCTGGAGAAGTAGCAGTCACTCAGAACAGATGGGGTCACAGACCGTGACCTGTGACTAGGCAGAGGAACGCATTAGTTCATGGACTCAAGGCAGTGGAGCACACACAGTGGCAGGAGTTGCCTGCCTGTGTCTAATGGTGAGGGAGTGTGAAATTGAGGATGCCTGAGGAGGCATAATAAACTCCTAGTTAGCTAATGTCATCAGCGGTGGCCCAGTGGGACCCAGGTGCATGCCACCTTTCTCTCTGCCACTAAGCAGTTCCTATAAAGTATCTTAGAAAGAAACAGAGCTCGCTGGTTGTGATGTACAATTTTCTCTCCTGAGTCTTTGCGGACCTGTGACCTGGAGGGGAATCTGGGCTGTGTCTGGTTTAGGAACCAACTGGACAGAGATAGCTTGGCTACCCAGGGGTCAAAGGCGATAACCCAAGGGTGGACACACCTATATCCTTTTGGTTTAAAAGCACACAAATTTGGGCCAACAAAATGGCTCAGTGGGTAAAGGCTTGCAACCAAGTCTGAAGACCTGAGTTTGATTACCAAGACCCACATAGTGGAAGGAGAGAATTGGTTTCTGTGTGTTGTCTTCTGACCTCCATATGTGCACACGGACACACAATTGATAATTTACAGCACAAATTTAGACGGAGTTTCCCAAGATATGGATTGTGTGACACTGTCTCACAAAAGACAGGGCCACCATTGACAGAGGCATGGCCCCTTGATTCTCTCATGAGCTCCAGGAGAGAGTGTCAGCGCTGACACTCTCTACCACAACCCTCGGTGAATCCCTTTTGCCGGAGAAGATGTCACTGACCCCAAGTTCACTCTCAGCAGGACCCAGGCAGAATTTACCAAACTAGCCATCCATCTGGGGTTGAGCTCCAGCACACCCTGCGCATACCTGGATCCTAGGACACACAAGGGCCTTATTGAGCTGGCAAGGCTCTGCAGAGGCCTTGCACATCCTCAGCTCTAGATGACTTCCAATTCCTGATTGGTTCCTAATGCTGTGTAAGGAGTTGCTATGGCAATCACTGAGGGGAAGGAAAGGGTCCAGGTGTTCAGTGCCCAGATAGTACTTTTCTGGAACGTTTTTTTACATCACTGTGGAGCCAGCAGATGGGGAGGGCTGGTACATTCGATAGGTCTCCCTTGGCTGTGTGGGAATGTGTAGGAGCCCACTTCTCCACTGGCCTTACTGCCTACAGATACCAAGTTTATCCTGGAGTCTTGTTTTCAAACAAGGAATCAGATAAACAGTTAGTCAGCACAAGTACTTGGGATGGAGGAAATCTGCCAGGGTGGGTAGCTGCTGAGGTCTGCAGAGGAGGATGGTTGGGTTCTACAAGGGCCAGGTGACTCTTCCTCTCCTCCCGTGCCCAGGAGTACCCCCTGGCAGCTCTCGCTGGCACTGCCTGCCACTGTGGTTTTCCCACCACACGATTCCCTCTTCATGACCGGGAGGATGAGCAACTGTGTGCACAGAAGTGCAGTGCCGAGGAGTTTGAGAGCTGTGGGACCCCCAGCTACTTCATTGTGTACCAGACACAGGTCCAAGGTAAGCCAGCAAGGTCTCGACAGACCCTCCTTCCCAGATGCGTCCCGGCCAGTCAGTTTCTTAAAGCCCGCGGTGAGGGGAGAGGAGAATTGATGTGATGGCAGAGGGCTGGGCTGGTGAAGTTGCCTAGGCTGAGGGCTTCTAGGTGCAAGACAGAGGAGGCATCTGAGGGGAGGTTCTAACGACCTCCTGTCTGTCCCTCATCAATGAAGGCCCTTGGTGGCTCTTTGCTGATAGAAGAGGCAGTGAGGTTGAGTGGAAAAAGAGCCCTGGATCTCCCCTCCTGCAACACAGACCCAGTATGTGACCCTGGACAGCTCATACCACCCACCTGGGCCTCAGTTTCTCCATCTGGAAAATGAAGCTGTGGATGGTTGGCCTCCAAGGTCCTTTTCGGTTCTGGAATTCTGTCAGTGTGTCTGTAACTTCTTCCTTCTCTCTCCTTCTTCCCCTCCCCGACTTGATCATCCTTCCCATCTCTCCCCTTCTTGGCCAGTAGAGCCCACACTGACCGTTTGTCTCTCTGCTGTCTATGGGGGATGCCAAGTGTCGTGGCGATGACAGTGGCTGGGAGGGTAAGGATGAAAGTGATGGTGGACATGACAGTTATGATGTGGTGTTGACGAAGACAGTGATGCTGGTTGTGATGATGGTCCTGATGCGGTATTGATGACGATAGTGAGGAGGAAAGTGATGATGATGGCGGTCATAGGCTGGGTTGATGATATGATGTTCCTGGTGATGATGGTGGTCATGATGCGGTGTGTTGATGATATGATGTTAGTGATGATGATGATGATGATGGTCATGATGCGGTGTGTTGATATGATGTTAGTGATGATGATGATGGTCATGATGCGGTGTGTTGATGATATGATGTTAGTGATGATGATGATGATGGTCATGATGCGGTGGTGTTGGTCATGATGGTCATGACGGTCATGATGCAGTGTGTTGATGGTGATGGTGTGGATCACAATGGTGATGATGACTGCACTTGTGTGTGTTAGTGGTTGTCAACTTGACACAAACCTAGATATATCTGGAAAGAGGAATCTCAACTGAGGAATTATCCACATCAGATTGTACATAGGCAAGTCTGTGGAGCATTCTCTTTATTAAGGACTGAGGTGAGCGGCTCTAGCCCACTGTGGGTGGTACCACCCCTGGGCAGATGACTGTGGGTTGTGTAGGAAAACAAACTGAGCAAGCCATGGAAAGCGAACCAGGAAACAGCTTCCTCCATGGTCCCTGCCTCTTCTCCTGCTTGAGTGCCTGCCTTAGCTTCTCTCAATGATTGGCTGTAACTGGGGCATGCAAGCCAAATAAACCCTCTCCGTGGGTCAGTGTTTTATCACAGCAATTGAGAAGCAAACTAGGGTAATGATGATAATAATGTTTGTGATGCTGCTGCTGCTGCTAATGGCGGTGATGATGTTGATGGTGATGCTGATGGTGGTGGTGATGGTAGTGACAGTGTTGATAAACGATGGTGGAATGATCGTGGTGATATTTGTAATGAAGGTGATGAATGGTGGTGATGGTGATGATGATGATGATGATGTGATATTGATTATGGTGATGATGATAGTGATGATGATAAAAATTATGATGAGATGGCATAATGAGTTCCTTGAGTCTTACTCCACACCAGGCTCAGTGCTAAGACCTTATTATATACTTCCTTCCCCTCAGCTGTCTTAGGAAGTGGGAACAGTGATTATTCCTATTTTCCTGGGAAAGTGAGACTCAGACTAGCTAAGGGACTTGCCTGCAGACAGACTATAAACCTTTATTCCTGGCTGGGGCATCTCAAGGAGAAGTTAGTGTGGGGCTGGGTACTCATGCTAGAACAGAGCCTAAGGAAACCCCAGGATTTATACCAGCATGGATACAGTGGCTGGATTTATACCAGCACGGATACATGGATACAGTGGCCATCCACTGTGTACCAGCCTCAGGCCAAGCCTCAGCTCATTCTGTGATATAAAGGCCGAAATCAGCCAGTGAGCAGGGCTGTGCCCATTTTATAGACAGTAGAGGGTTAAGGAATTGGCCACAATCCCATATACGAGAGCAATGTGCCTTCAGAGATGATTCCAAAGACCATGCCAGAATCTTCAGCTCACAATGGCAAGAGCACTCCCAACCCCTCTGGAGTCTGAAGAGCAAACAGCACATCTCAGAGCAGACTGCCTCCTGGCAACAATGCATAGATGGACAGGCTGGACACTGCATGGGTGTGTCAACAGCAAAAGTACATGCGAGGCAGCCTGCGCTCTCGCATGCCAGCACTCTAGAGAAAAGCAGCAGATGCCTGTTCGTGATTTGCATAAAAATCCTGTACAAGTGACTGGTGGTCCCTGGCAGGAAATCCCACTTGATCTGATGTGGAGTACAAGAGCCTGGTGAGCAAGCCCTGCTCATTCACAGTCCAGTGAGGAGGGATGAGTGCGTGCTGGTTTCCAGGATGCACCGGGCATTTGGGCAGAGCTACGTGACCTTGGCACGTAGTAAAGTGTAAATAAAGGCTGGAGAGTCAGGTCTGCTGGTTCCAGGGCCTGGAAAACACAGCCTGTATGGGGTTCCAGAATCAATAGACGCAATGGATTTTAACACTGAAAACAACAGCCGTCATCGCAGAGCTGACCCACCTCCCATTTGCCCCCTGCACTATTTTACAGAGAGTCACACTTCTCTCCACCCCTTGTCCCCAGGACCCTCTTACATCCTGCCGTCCTGAAGGAAGTGTGGTCCCCAATAGGAATCATTAATTCCAATGCGACATTTGATTGAGGTTGTTTTGTTTTTAAGTCCCATTGACACCGAGGGAAAGGCACCTTTCAGGTGGGGTGGCCCATGGTCACTTGACAACCTTTGACCCTCTAAGACCAAAAGAAACCGGAGGGCCTTCTGGTTTGGTAGATGCTGCAGTGGGTGGGGCTGGGTCTCCCACAGGCAGGGTTCTCAGTCCCATCAAGTTGAAGGTCAAGCTGAACTATTGCCAACCACTCACTGTGAGGGACTTGCTACGCCAGGGGCGGCTGGGACTGAAGAGGAGGCTTGTCCTCCCGTGGGACTTCTGCCGGTCCTCCCTGCGAGCTCAGCACATCCGAGTGCCCCTCCTCTTCCATGTATGACCTTGTCTCCAGGACACACTGTGCTGACCCCTGACCCCTGTCTGTCTGTCTGTGCCCCTGCAGACAATCGCTGCATGGACAGAAGGTTCCTCCCAGCCAAGTCTAAGAAACTCATCGCGCTCGCCAGCTTCCCGGGCGCCGGCAACACGTGGGCTCGCCATCTCATCGAACTGGCCACCGGCTTCTACACTGGCAGCTACTACTTTGATGGATCTCTGTACAACAAAGGTGAGGGGTGGAGCGTGAGGGGAGCATCCCGCAGGGCTTGCTCAGCATGCCTGGGCTCATCCATGAAGGCCTCTGCTGCGTGCTCCTGCCGTCCTCCCTTTTATGTTTGACACACACATCCTGTGTTCTGTCTCAGTACTTCCCCTGAGCCTGCCGGCTGATTGACATCTAGTAAGCACCATTTAGGTTGCCATAAGCATTTCTTAAGCACCTGCTGTGTGCTAGGCACCTCACCACTGATATTGACTGACCAACAGCTGTTTGCTATCAATAGAAGTATAATAACTGTGTTTACATGGGGGCACTTACCCACTGGCGGCGCACGCCTTTAATCCCAGCACTCGGGAGGCAGAGGCAGGCGGATCTCTGTGAGTTCGAGGCCAGCCTGGTCTACAGAGCGAGATCCAGGAAAGGCGCAAAGCTACACAGAGAAACCCTGTCTCGAAAAACAAACAAACAAACAAAAAAAAAAAAAAAAAAAAAAAAAAAAAAAAAAACATGGGGGCACTTATTGAGTACCAACTGCTTACCGGGCATCTTGCTGACAGTGCTGTGTGCCATGCTTTATTCTGAGGCTGTGCGCTGTGTTTTAGTGAGCACCATCATATTATTAGAGACGTGCTTCCCTTGTGTGGTTTTCAAGACACATTTGTAGAGCACCAACTGTGTGTAGGGAATCTCAGGGAAGTTCACCACCCCCAGATACCTTGTTGGGCCAGCTCCAACCTGTCCCCAGACATGAAAACTGAGGCTGAAGAGGGGGAAATAACTGACCCCCAAAGTCACAGGATTTTTTTTTCAAATGGCTGATTAGAGAATGTACCCAACTGTTTCCTGATTTCACGCTCACATCCTCATCACTCTCGGGCTTTTTACTGGGGAACTAGAAATCATGGGTGGCACCGGACATGAAGCGCTCTCCTCGGTGTGGGTTTTACAGCTATGTGTGGATAGCCCGCCCTTGGTTGTGTCTGTGTGTTAGTGGAGGAACGCTTCCTGGCTGTGTGGTCTTGGGCACATGACTGCACCTCTCTGGTTCTGTGATCGTTCACTTACTACAGCTAACAGTTGGTACCTCGTGAAGGTGGTGTGAAAGCGAAGGAGCTGGTCCGTGTAACAAGTTCAGTGAACGGGAAGTGGAGTCTGGTGTGACGGCTCGGGTGCCAGGCATGGCTAAGGCAAAGCTAGGCAGCAGCATCTCCCAGCATGGGAACAGGCGGGAGGTGGAGAGAGAAGGAGGTGGGGTGGAAGGTCGTAGCCAGCAGGGATGCAGTAGGGCTTCCTAGTTTGCATTCATTTGGCTGTGACAAACACTGACCAACACCAGCTCGGAGAGGAAAGGGTTAATTTCATCTTAGCGGCCCCCAGCTCACGATCCGGGCCCCCCCACCCCCCGTGCCCTGCCCGAAGTCAGATGGGAACGAGGGGTGCTGCTCACTGGCCTGCTCCCCATGGCTTTCTTGCTCAGCCTTCTTTCTTATAGAACCCAGGACCACCAGCTTTGGGATGGCCCCACCCACCCTCGCCTGGGCCCTCCCCCATCGATTATTAGTCAAGTCAAGGCCCCACAGTCCAATCTGATAGAGGGAATGCCTGAGTTGAGGCTCCCTCCCTGTGAGTGACTCGATTTTGTGTCATGTTGACAAGCACACAGGGCCTGCACCTTCAGATCCCAGTTCTCTGTATTTGGTTTGGGTTTCTGGACTCTTTTACTTAGCAACTACTAGGTATGAAATGGCACCTACTATGTGTGAGGCACCTGCCAGGGTTTGAACCCAGACCCTCAGCAGACCCTGAGCTCTGCTGTCTTTATGAGCTGGTGCCTGGGGACCTTGGGGATACTGTGATACAAGGAACACACAATCCATAATATTGGAGGTGGGAAGAGAGAGACAGAAAATAGAAAACACTTTTTTTTTTCCTGCAGCTCTGAGTCCATGTCTTGGAACAATATTCTGGTGGTCCCTCAGAACCTGAGGGTCATATGCCTGAGGGTCACATGCTCCCCAAATAAGTAGACAATTGTAGTAACTCTGAAAAGTAATATTTAAACATGCCACATTTGTGTCATGGTGGTATTGGGTGCTGTAGAAAAGAGGGGTGCAGAAGGGGGGCCTCTGGCGGTGGAATTCAGCAATTCCCCGCTACTTATTGACAAGTGAGCAACATTCCTCAGGAAAGTCCAGGCCCATTGTCTTCTCGAAGTTCCTTCCTAGTCATAAAACACTTCTGGAATATGTTCTGCTAAATGAAATCACCCCACCCCCATCTACAGACCAATTTCCCAGGGGATGGATATTTAGACTCTGCAATAGGTATTTCTAGACGATCGTGGCTTATCTTGTTGGTGCTTATTTATAATTTCCACAAATATCAAGCTAAGTTAATGCCATTATGGCATCGAAGACACAGCATCTCAGGTCTCCCCAAACAGGGAAGTGACTTCTCATACTGTCTCCTTTGATGACATCATGATGCCTTGTTTGGGGCATTTGGGGAGTTTTCATTACCGCTTTGTTGGTTTTGGTTTCTGGAGATGACTTTGCGGCATCTCATGGCAATACCAATCCATCTGCCACAGCTCCCTAGCATGGACATTGCCACCACACCCACCCAGGCCTATTTTCTCCTCCAAGAGTATGTGGGTTCTTGTATATCGCCTCTGTTTGCCCATGGCTGGGGCTGTGATGAAATGAATTTCAGTGAAGACAAAATGAAGCCAGAGGTGGGAAGTCCTTGTCCCGGAGGTACAGAGTCCCACCAATGGGATGTGTGGCATGGGGTTGTACCCATGGCTGTGTATGGTGAACTTGTCATACTCTCTCCCAAGCCCCACACCATCATCCTCAGTGCCCTCGGGATACTGTACCTCAGAGGACCTCAAAAGCTGTTGATAAAGATCTAGTCGCAGGTATGAACCAGCCCAAATTTGCAAGACTCCTTTAATCCCTTTGGCCCAAGCAGCCCCAGGGTGAAACGTCATTCAGGAAAGGGCATTCCATGTCTGCCTCTTCTGCCCAGAGGCCCTGTGAGGGCAGCCATAGCTCTCTGAACCTCCGGAACAGGATCAGGTGACATGCTAGTCCTTACCACTGTCCACCTCCAAAGTGATATGTAAGCCGCTTATACACGTGGGCTGAACAGGAAGACATGGCACCCCACGGCCTGGCAAGGCCCCGTGGCCTCTCAGGCCAGGATTTGCTGTGGCTTATATTAGTTTCTGTGACAGAAAAACCTAAAAAAAAAAAAAAACAGTGTAAGGGAGGATCTGTTTTGGCTCATCCAGTCCATCATTACAGGGAAGGGGGTCAGGGAGCAGCTCAGTCCCCAGGAGAGCAATCCTTGACCACAGCTACATCACTGGTGGATTAGAAGGGCCACCCCCGGCAGCCATCTTAGCGCCTTTCATTAGAGTCCTGCTCTATGTCTCGCCAGTTTCTCACAGTGTCGGTCGGGGTCACTCACTATCTTAGAAACATTGGTGAAGGCCACACTTGACCTTCAAGGTCTTCCTAATGCCTCACCCCTCAGAGTGTGGGAGTCCTGAGGGGGAAGGACACAGGCTCAGGAGCCTGGGAGTCACGAGTTTGGTGCCTCTGAGTACATCGTGACTCCCTCAGCCCTCTCCAGCTCCCTGGGTTCCCGGCCACCCATCCTAGGACATCTCCTCTCACTCCCCCCAGGACTTTGGTACCTGCGGTCCCCGTCCTTTCTTGTCTTGGGCTAATAACCAGTTCTTCCTTGACCTTCAGTTCTCAAATTAAACATCCCTACCCAGAAGGCCTTCCTGCATGCCACAAGCTCATGAGTTGGGCTGGGGCCCTGTCTGTATCTCAGAGGGTGGAGGTGTAGCCTGGGTCCAAAACGGAATCGCCCAGTCAGGTCCCTCCTGGGCCTGCTCCTCCTGTTCCGCTGCATGGCCAGCAGCTGTGAATTTCCGTTCCTGTGACATCGGTTAGCCAATGCCACCCTCCAGGCCGTGATGCTCTGCTCGGCTTCCCTCAGGATGTTTCGGTTATGTGGGTGCTCAGAACACACACAGGAAGGAATGAGTGAGTCAAGAGAGTGAGGAGTCCCGAGGCGGTGCGGGACAGGGTGGCATGTCCTTCCCGCCTCCCCACCTCCCCACCTCCCCAGCTTCTAACTTCTCGCCCCGGGGGTTGGGGACAGGGTTCAAAGGTGAGCGAGACCACTGGCGCAGCGGCCGGACCATCTGCATCAAGACCCACGAGAGTGGCCGGAAGGAGATCGAGGCCTTCGACGCAGCCATTCTGCTCATCCGCAACCCCTACAAGGCCCTCATGGCGGAGTTCAACCGCAAGTATGGAGGCCACATCGGCTTCGCTGCCCACGCCCACTGGAAAGGCAAAGGTACAGGGAGGGAGGGCCTGGGGTGGTGTGGGGTGCAGGGTGGCCAGCATGGGGTGACAGGAGGCCCTGGGGCAGTGTGGGGTGCAGGTCAGACCTGGAGCAGTGTGGGGTGCAGGGTGGCCAGCATGGGGTGACAGGAGGCCCTGGGGCAGTGTGGGGTGCAGGTCAGACCTGGAGCAGTGTGGGGTGCAGGGTGGCCAGCATGGGGTGACAGGAGGCCCTGGGGCAGTGTGGGGTACAGATGGGCCTGGGGTAGTCTGGGGTGCAGGTGGCCAGCATGGAGTGACAGGAGGCCCTGGGGCAGTGTGGGGTGCAGGTCAGACCTGGAGCAGTGTGGGGTGCAGACTGACCAGCATTGGGGTAACAGGAGGTCAGTCCTGGAGCAGTGTGGGGTGCAGGTGGCCACCATGGGGTCACCAGAGGCCCTGGAACAGTGTGGGGTGCAGATGGGCCTGGGGTAGTCTGGGGTGCAGGTGGCCAGCATAGGGTAACAGGAGGTCAAGCCTGGAGCAGTGTGGGGTGCAGAGTGACCAGCATTGGGGTAACAGGAGGTCAGTCCTGGAGCAGTGTGGGGTGCAGGTGGCCACCATGGGGTCACCAGAGGCCCTGGAACAGTGTGGGGTACAGAGTGGCCAGCATGGGGTGATAGGAGGATCTTGGGCTGTGTAGGGTACAGGTGGCCAGCATGGGGTCACAGGAGGCCCTGGAGCAGTGTGGGGTGCAGAGTGACCAGCATGGCATGACAGGGGGCCCAGGTGGTGTGGGGTGCAGGGTGACCAGCAGGAAGCTCTCCAGAGGAGTGCAGAGCTTCTGTAATGCTCCAGCTCTGGGTGGCTGAGGCACCATGGGGCTACACCCAAAGCACCAGCCATGTAGCCCAGGAACTAAGGATTCGCACTTTACAGTGAGGCTCCCTTGCAGTGGGACCCCAAGCCCTTACACTTTCTTGAACAGCTCTAACTTTCTGGATTTAGGGGGATGACATGGGGTTTGAGAGGCTGGAAGGTACACTTTCTCTACTCAGCAGCTGTGGTTCTCACTGTGGTAACGGGGACACTGCTGGTGAAATCCAGATGGCATGGGTGGCCATGAGTTTGTGGGTCCTCTCCTGGGTACCACATGGCCCGTGTCCAGCCCCTGTGTGGTGGTGAAACCCTACAGCTGTGGGACCATTACCAGTGAACTCACCCAACAGCTCCAACCCACATGGTTCAGAGGGCTTGATATCTGCTAGTGTCGCCCTACTGGGCAGCAAGCAGGGCCTGAGGCGAAGTGGATTTGACAGCTCCTCCCCAGCTAGGGGAGAAGCCTGCGCCAGAGAGCAGGCCAGTGGCTGGAACATGGACCCAGCTTCTGGCTGAGAACCCTGGTTCTCTCTTTACTAATGAGGAAACTGGGGCCCTGTAGCTAGAGTTTTCCTGCCTGACCCACAGTCAGGACATATCTCTGACACCCGCCAGTCCCACAGCCATTCAGACCCAACCAAATAAACACAGAGACTTATATTGGTTACAAACTGTATGGCCGTGGCAGGCTTCTTGCTAACTGTTCTTACAGCTTAAATTAATCCATTTCTATTAATCTATACCTTGCCACGTGGCTTGTGGCTTACCGGTACTTTACATCTTCCTTGTCCTGATGGCGGCTGGCAGTGTCTTCCCCCACCCAGCTTCCTGTTCTCTCAATTCTCCTCTCTGTTAGTCCCGCCTATACTTCCTGCCTGGCCACTGTCAATCAGTGATTTATTCATTGACCAATCAGCAACACATTTGACATACAGACCATCCCACAGCAGGGCCCAGAGAGGTAGAGATCACTAAGGTCATTGGGATACCCAGTAGCCAAGCTCTCCTCTTCCCAGGCCTCCTGGGGTCTGAGAGAAGTGGGATGTGGGGCAGTGTGGCTGTCGTCAAACCCTCCAGGAACTAGGGAGACTGTGATTCCTGGGGCAGGGTAAACGGAGCTTAGTTAGCACCCTGGGTGTTGCTGAGCTGGGATTCCAACCTAGGCATCAGGCATTGATTGATCCCCAGCCTCCACATCCAGAGACATTCACACACACACAGCAGCAGCAGCAGCAGCAACCACCTCATCTGCTCTATTTCCCTATTTAAGACACCTGGGTCCTTTAGGTCAGCACTGAGTCAGGGCATATGAACCAAGAGAGGGCACGTGGGGGATTGGTCCAGACTCATCTCATACTGGGGCCAAATTAGCTCCATCAGCTCCCCTCAGGTCAAAGCTTTGACAGAGAACTCTCTCCAGGGAACCGAGCCCCGACTCTCCACCCTACTCCCCGACCCAGTCCTCTTCTTTGATACCCTAGGCACCAGGACAACTGGGGGGAGGGGGACTCATTAGTGATGCCAGTGACCAGGCTCCACCCCAGACCTGCCCGACTAAAAACACTGCATTTTCACCAGCCTTTGGGGACCTTCCTGATGGACACTTCAACGCACCACATCACTGCCTTAAACCCTTACTTAAACCTGAGTGCTGGGATTAAAGGTGTGCGCCACCACACCTGGCTTAGAAAACAATTTTAATGAGGTAATTTTAAAAGAAAGTTCAGAAGGGTATAGTATAGAACAGAAAATATGGTATCTTAGATATCCAAACATTATAAACACAGGTAAAGTACATTAATAGTTTTTGTTTACTTAACCAGCGGCACCGGTGTCTCCTGGGATATTTCAGAGTCCATGTCCAACCAGATTTCTCGGGGGCTCTCACAAGTTTTGAGGACTGCGTCAGGGGTCCCTTTGATGAACAGTGGGAGAGTAACCTGGAAGGAGAGGCCCCATAGCCACTCCCCATAGCTCCCCACAGCCCTGCTCCCTCCTGATTAGATGGAGATAAGCCTCCCCACCCCCCAACTTTGGTTCCATAACATTAATTTTACAACCCCTCTGGAGCAGAACCAAGGCAAAATTTTATGTGATATGATTACACAAGGTGAATTGTCCTGGATCTGTTTAATGAAACCGATCCTGTGTTTAATGATTCCATGGGGAACTGGCACGGAGAAACCATTAATCAGGGCCTGGTTCCTCCTGCCGACAAGAAGATGAAGTGGACACCTCCATGCTGCGCGCAGCCAGGCACGCCTGTGAGGCCTTGGCTCCCGGGGGGGGGGTGCTTTATTTCCATATTTGTGGGTGCTGATCCATTACCAGGAGCCCTGAGCTAGCAGAGGGCTTTTGCTACCATTTCTACTGTTCTTTGCAATGAAGTCATTCAGGAGCTTTGAGAGGTGAAGGGTTGGAGTGTGTGGGCAAACGTCTGATACGGAAGGGCTCAGAACAGCTCAGGGTGCTACTAAGCTTTGGGAGGGAAACTCGGGCTGGGGCACAGGGGGTGTCTCGGGAAAAGCTGGAGGCCAGCATCAGCAAGGATTGTCATAAGCAGCGTTTACTCTTCTGCACCTGGAACCTCGTCAGGATCTTTGAAAAGCTTATTATCCTAAGAGGGCAGGCATGCCTGTTCGCAAGTCAGTAGACTGAGACTCGAGGAGCGAGCAAACAGCACCTCCAAGGTCATCCAATGCGGGTGGAAAAGAACAGGGTCTCCAGGCCCGGCCCCTGGCTGGGAAGTCATCTGTGGACAGCCCCTGTGTCTCAGGCAGCATCCAGAGGTAAAGGACACAGCAGGCAGACAAAGAAGCAACTTCCTCAGAATAGGAGGTGCAGGTGATGGGATCGGAAGACACACCAGGCGAGTGTCTTCAGGATGGTCACACCTGGCCACACCTGAAGTCTAGGCCTGTGGCGCGCCGGATGACAAGGGCCAGCCTCACCTGGGTTTCTCCTGGGACCGTCGCAGCTGTCCTGAGTCACCAAGGATGCTGAGAGGGGACTCAGACGTGGGGACAGGCTGACAAAGGGAAGGAGCCCCTGTGTGTGCTTAAAGTTTCCTAATCATCCAGATACATCTGGCCCCAGCCCATTATAACAGTACGGGCCCAATTAGTCAGCTGCCTTGTGAATAATCTATTTTAAGAATAAAAAAAATAACCTGTCGCCAGCATAAATATTTCTCAAGGAGCCGTGGGGTTCCAGGAGGGGACTGGGAGAGAGGCATCTCAGGACGGCTTCCATGGGTTCTGTCAAGAAAAGCAGCCTTTTATCACAGCGCAATTTAGCAGTTGGGATTTCAATTTAGTTCAGTGGCGCTTCCCCCCAGCTCCTGCTGGGTACCAGGCTGTGGGAGGAAGTGGGGATGCGGCTGCTGGTGTCTCCAGAGGATCTGGGCCAGAGTGAGGCAGGCTGGATTGGATGGTGCGTCCCTGCTGTGTGACCTTGAACAAGTCCATTCACTGTCTGAGCCTCAGTCTCCTTCCTGGCCCCAGTGCCCAACAGTTGTTTCCTTTTGGGGTGTCTAGGAAGGCTAGGTGAGACAGAAAGGCTCCATCATCCAGTGAGGGGTTAGGAGTTAGGAGGATTTTAAGGTCCCCAACCTAGCCTGAAGGACTCACTGGTCTGTCATGCATGGCCCACTCTGGATGGGGTGCTGCATCATCAACTGTTGAGCCTTTGGGGTTCTCCAGCTGAGTTGGGGCTGATGCTGCTCCCAGCATTCCAGTGCCCACCTTGGGCCTCTCCCCGCTCCCCTTTCACCTGAGCCTGAGCCTCAGCAGCTCTCCTTGAGACTTGCTTGCTGTACAACTAACCCAAGGAGTGTGTTCTCAAGTCAGGCAACCCCAAAGGCACCCTCCCAGTCGGGTGACTTTCTGTCACATGGCAAGATGGCTGATGAGCCCCCACCCCCCCCAAAGAGACCGTTTGTGACCATTTCAGTAGAGAGTAGAGAGACCACATGAACAAGACTAACAATCCTGTTCAAACCAGCCCCCTGGGCTCAGCCGGCAGTACAGACAGACGTGTAATCAGGGTGACCACACAGTCATGACTCACTGTGTGATCAGGAGGGAGAACTGGACCTGCAGAGCCCAAAGGAGGCCTCTGCCTGAGCCCCGGGAGCCAGCGAAATGACTTCTTGAACAGCAGCAGGTAGCTATGCTTATTGAACAACATCAAGGCTCAGGCCAGTATGCCAACAGTCCCCAGTGCTCTGGCCACACTCGGTACACAGCCCACCATTCCCCAGAAGCATGCTGTTATTGCTTACAACACCTTGGTAGCAAAAGCCCTGCACCATGCAGCCAGGTCTCCCTGGGTGACTTTGAACAGTCACTCACCCACTCTGTGCCTCAGTTTCCTCTTCTGCTAAATGATAGCCACAATGATGCTGGGCTGTGAGGAGTGAGTAGAACTAACCCCTGCCTACATCACCACATTGAAAACACAGTTCCAACCCGGCCATACACCTTTATAATGATCCTATCAATGGAAATGATAGACCTATGTTGCGACTATATTTACATAAATTATATGTAATATAAATCTATTCTATAAAGCCAGGCATGGTGGCACACACCTTTAACCCCAGCACTTGGGAGGCAGAGGCAGGTGGATTGCTGTGAGTTCGAGGCCAGCCTGGTCTACACAGAGAAACCATGTCTCAAAAAAAAAAAAAAAAAAACTCTTCCATATAAATTTTATATAATTTGCAGAGTACAGTGTCTAGGAGGGAGGTGGAAGCACCTGGACACAGCCGGCTCTTCTTGTCAGAATGGAGTCTTGCCATGCTGTCTTTTTTCCTTTCAGTTGATGAAATCATCCGGTTGTCTTTACCCTTTGAGGAAGACTCTGTGACTACTTTGGAATTTAGTTAATCCTACTTAAAGGCCTTTTATAACTCTCTGTGTTACTCACTAACTAACAGACCAAATTGTATAAACAGATTTAAATATTTGTCCTTGTAAAAGTTTTACAATCATTATTGAATTTAGTAGGAATATTCTAAAGAGGCATGTCTCTAAACAGATTTTTTTTTAAATGATTAAAGCAATGACTATTCAAAAAACAAAGGCTTTGTTCAATGGGAAAACACATTTAATCTCAGGTTTTAAATACACATTTAAGTCAAAGAATGAGCAAAGGATTTTATTGTTGCTTCAAGCGATTTTTTTTGTAAACATTACTAAGAACAAATCAATACTTAAAGTATTGTAGAGAATTAATCATCAATTTTATCTCAGAGTATTGAATTGACCTTAAGTTTTATAACTTCAGTATAAATACATCTTATTTTTATTATTACAAAATTTAGAAAAAAAATTTTTTTGGGTTTTTTTGTTGTTGTTTTCCGAGACGGGGTTTCTCTGTGTAATAGTCCTGGCTGTCCTGGAACTCACTCTGTAGACCAGGCTGGCCTTGAATTCAGAGATCTGCCTGCCTCTGCCTCCTGAGTGCTGGGATTAAAGGTGTGCGCCACCACACCTGGCTTAGAAAACAATTTTAATGAGGTAATTTTAAAAGAAAGTTCAGGAGGGTATAGTATAGAACAGAAAATATGGTATCTTAGATATCCAAACATTATAAACACAGGTAAAGTACATTAATAGTTTTTGTTTACTTAACCAAATTTAAATTAAGTATTTGCTAAAGAGTTAGGCCATGAGATCTGATACCTTGAAGAGTTTTGCTTTTATGCGTGCGTGGTTTTCGTTGTCATTGTTGGAAAAAGCATTTCCTTTTATGAGTCTTTACCAGACACCAAAAGTATGAGGCATAAAGCGTGGGATGGAGCTAAGCTTTCACATTCATGACTTTATTATTCTTTTTAATTAGAAACAGAGTTGGATAATTCTGTTGAATTCTTAACTATGGTGTAACACGTTAAGATGATCTGTAAGTTCTGAGATGTCTATGCAAACCAACAGTAAGTTCTTAAAAGGACAATTCAAAAAAGTAGACACTTAGGGTTTTCTCTTACATCGGCCGTGCCGAGATCCGGCTCTTGAACCCCTGCTTGTCCATTCATTTGTTTTTAAAGGGGCACTGGTGCTCAAACACATCTTTCAACTGTTGGTATGCATATAAACACTCCCCTGTAAACAAGACCTAAAGGACAGGTGTGAGCTGGCCTGTTAATCTGTGGGACAGAGTTCAGTGTGTCAGGGGCGGTCGTTGTCACTAGGGAAAACATATGCTATAAAGCAGAAGCAATCACATCGTAGTTATTTATTCCCTCAAGCGATAGGGACTGTGCTGTAAACCAGAACGGGATAAGGATCAGGAGATGATGTCTTCATCAGAATTGTACCTTGTACTTAAAAGCAGATTTAAATTTTTCTCAATCTGAAAAGTCATGTTTGTTGTCCCAGAGAAAGATTTAGGACCATCCAAAGAGCTCATTGAAAAGCAGAACTCACAAAAAGGAGGTTAAGTCAACATGGTCACGCTGGGAAGGGGGACGATGAGGTACAGGAAACCCCTCATTTGTCTTTAGGGACCTGAAGTGAGATCAAAGTATAGAGACCGGGGATATGCAGGACTGATCGGTCCTCAGGACTCATCATCATCTGCGCTTCAGCCTTGTCCTCTAAGGTGACAGACAAGTTGCTGCAACTGTTTGAAATCTCTTTCAGGGAGACAGGGTCCCTCCTGCTGGTGCCCTTCCCTCTTCCAGCGTGAGATTCCTGGGGGGACCCCTGTATCCTGAGGGCCCATTTCTTCAACAGTCTGACAGTCCGCCGAGACACACATGTGTCTCTGGAGACTGTCTTCATTTCTGCCAGACTGGTTACTGGGGGGATCAGTTTTTACGATGATGTTCCCCAGAAAAGCCACAGGTTACTACATAGGACCCAGGAGCGGAGCTGGACAGGCCTGGAAAATGCCTATTGCTGGTGTCAGTGGCACTCAGACATCTAGAGAGTTTCTTGTTAGATAAAAGGAATGCAGAATCCCGTGTTTAGGAGGATCCGCAGGGCAGGACAGCGGATAGGGAAACTCCACAAGATGCTTGAAAATGGGTCTCGGCATAAGTCCCCAGGATGCTGGAGAGGGGACACAGATTCACTTGGTTATCTTTAATAGCCTGAGGAGTTCCCCTAAGCTCAGGCCAAGCTGAGATTTGGGGCTTTAAGGCTGAAAGGAATTTTAGAACTGGTTAAGACACTTTAATGTTAGAGTTACAGGGAAACAAGCTGTTTAAAGAAATGGTAAGAGAGGAGGCCACAAAGAAGCAGCCAGAGAGAGAGGAGAGGAGGGGGATGGGGTGGGGAGGGGCAGGGGGAGTTATCTGAGCATTTGCCTTTGACATAAACCTCCCCAAAAGTTTTTTTTTTATTCATTTTCCATTTTAGCATCTAATTTAACTTGTGTGGCTTTAAGAGCTCTTTACTATGAATTACCAATTTGGAGATCAATTTTTGGAGATCATTTTACATCTTAGAGAAAGCCGGTTGCCTATTTGTGATTTTTTTTTTTTTTTTTTTTTTGCCGAGGACTTTGCTTTTATTACCCACTACTTTGGAGGTGGTAACTGTTTGGGTTATCTTTAGTGTGTTTCTTCCAAACACTTGCAAGTTAGTCAGCAATTATCGCTCCCAGAAGCTGCTAGAATGCCAGATGGCCATTACCTCCAGGCAGTTCCTCCATTTTAGAAACCTCGTGGCCGTGTTTATATATATTTTTTTCTCTTTCTTTTTTCTATTCTCCTGAAAAGTCACCCCGTCTGTGCTCGCTGGGGAATATGTGGTTTGGTCAGTTTTATATGTTGCTTTTGGCATCGACTTTCTCGGCTTTTACCCTGAAACCGTCTTCTCCTACTGGGTCTTTGGTTATCCTACATGTGTACACAAACACGAGAGAGCTCAAGACCCAGGGTGAACAAACCCTCGTAAGCGGTTTCCCCGAAGAGCCAGTGAAGTGTCTTCTGACCCCAGAGTGGGGCCATTGCACAGAGTGGGGCCTTCCCCGTGACACCGCCACACTCTGGGGTGAGGTGGGGTGGGATCGAAGAAGTACCCCTTGTCCTCAGTGTCTTTATCATCAGATGATCATAAAGCTCCTGAGCTAAAGGGTTGACACGGTCACAGGACACGCAGCAGAAAAAGGCAGACTTAAGCGTCTGAGGAGCGCGGCAGAAACAAAGGTCAAATGTCAGGAAACAAAGGTCAAGTGTCAGGAAACAAAGGTCAAATGCTAATAAATCAAAACATTTCAAAGACCAGGAAAACCCGGACAAAAAAAAAGAAACCAAAATGCCTTCAAAAGTTCCAGAAGCAAACAAAATACTGAAAACAAGCTAAATAGAACCTAAATTGCCTTTAGAGTTCTGAATGCAAGCAAGCAAACCAAACCAAATGTTAGAACAAAATGCTTTCAAACAACTGATAACCTTAAAACAGATACTTTGAAAGCAGACGAAGAGAGATTCCTATCACAATAGGATCTGCTAGCCAGCCCAGAATAGACAGACTGTCCACAAAACCAAGGGAGGTTTGGAGCCCCGGAAAGAATTCACCAACAGTCCCCAGGAGGAAATAACACCAGATGACCGTGCAGGGTCCTGGCTTCCATTCAAGTGATTCCTCTGGTGAAAAGCGGACCATTTTTGGAATCCCACATGTCACCATATCTGTTGACACAAAAAAAACACATCTCTCATCTTAAAGGAAATATGAGATAGTTTATTCTGGAGCATTTTGAGTTACCATGGCCCAGAAACATAGATTTAGGTTACCCCAAATTCCATGTTCCAATGTGGAAACCGTTTCATGAACATTTGTGGTTTTACAGGACAAAGAAAGTCATACACCAAGACAAGTGTAAAATATATTGATTGGTACATCAGAGAGGTGGGTACAAGCGAGATGAGGTAAAGCTTTTCTGTAGGCCCAAGAAGCTATCTGATGGCATCCTTAGCTTTGGGGTTGGTGGAAGCGAGCCATCTGCTAAGTTAATAGATTCCAAAGGATTTCTATCTACTAGTTGGGGTGGGGGTGTTAGTTCTGACACAGGCGGGCAAGGAATGGCGGTTCCAGAGGTCTAGAGCTAGCCCAGGGTAAGGTAATTAGTCCCTGGACCTGCAACATCGCAACCTCTCCATGGTACTGCAGTGCTAGTCAATCAGCGTCTGCATGAACAGCTTCTTTCCAAGAATTCTGGTTCCCGAGATCAAACCTGGGGCTCCCAGCATCCTGGGCCAGCAAGCGCCTACTCCCCAGTCCTTCCTGTACAACCCTGCATCTCTTATTACTTCCTTACCTCCACATTTTGGTAGTATATGTTTATATGCGGTGGTCTGTTTGTGTGTATAGGGCTGTGCCTGGAACGGACCAGGCACCAGTCAAGTGGGTGTTACCCCAGAGAGCACAAGTGGGTTCAGAGGTCTGGAAGGTGTGTCATCGGCCCATCTGGTGGCGTCCTGATTGATGCCCTGCTCTCTCCACAGAGTGGCCCGAGTTCGTCAGGAACTACGCCCCGTGGTGGGCCACGCACACGCTGGACTGGCTCAAGTTTGGCAAGGCGGTCCTGGTGGTGCACTTCGAGGATCTGAAGCAGGACCTCTTTGCGCAGCTGGGCCGCATGGTCAGCCTGCTGGGCGTGGCCGTCAGGGAAGACCGCCTGCTGTGCGTGGAGAGCCAGAAGGATGGCAACTTCAAGCGCTCGGGGCTCCGCAAGCTGGAGTACGACCCTTACACCGCCGAGATGCGCAGGACCATCGCTGCCTACATCAGGATGGTGGACACAGCCCTGCGCAGTCGCAACCTCACCGGGGTGCCCGACGCCTACGGCCCAAGATGATGGGTGTGGCCAGGGAGGGTCCCAGCTTCCCCCCTTGGCTCCAAGAGCTGGCTTCCCTCTGGCATGATGACAACCCCAGGCTTCTGCCTGCCTTCAGAGAGACCCCCTCTGAGGCCTGGGGAGGAGACATCCAGGCACCTTCCCCTGGCTGCCTGGTTTGGGGAGTCCCTGCCCCTGCTGTTGGTGTGGGCGGGGGGATGAGATGATTATCATGGAGACAGCAGTGGTTGGGAGGTTCTGGATGTGACAGCTGATGAACAGTTATAAGCAGTAACCCTGCAGCTGACTGTGTGGGCCCCTGTCTCTTCCCCTGAGCGAGCACTGGCTTTATGGTCTCTCTCAGGCCATCTGTGTGTGACAGACAGATGTCTGGGACCTGTCTCCACGGCCTTAGATCTCTGGCTTCTGAGGTAGGGGGAACTGGTGCCCTGGCACACCGTGGGAGCTGTCCCCCAGGCTAAATCACACATGAGATCCAAGCTGGGTGCTGTTCCACTTCGAGGGCTGGAACTCTGTCCTTTCTGCCCACGCTGTGTCTTGGAGGTCGGGGTGACTTTGGGGGTTTTGACCCTTCTTCCAAAGTCCCTTAGGTACCAAAAACCAACCCAAAGGTTGGTCATGTACCACGTACAGAGCCCCCAATGACCCATCTTTCCAGGGTGGGGTCCAACATGTCTATCTTACACTGCCCTCCTGAGCCCTTAACCAGGGGAGGGAACAGAGTGCTCCAGCTCAGAGGGAGCCACACTCAAAACAGTCCCCCTACCCACAAGACATCAGCCTCCCTTCCCTCGCTTACAGCCCAACAGGGCCGGTCCCCCTGCCCCCCCCCGGGGGGGGGACTCCTTAGAAACGGGGTAATGAATGGCTGTCCCTTCCCACTGCGCCACTGCTCTCTTGATGCCGAGACACCAAACCAAAGGATTTCTGACTTGAGTCACTGATCATGTTTTTCCAAAGCATGCATCCAGGATCCCGTCTCCCCACCCCGGATCCCCGCGGCTTCCCCTCCAGCCCACACCTTCACCATCCCCATGGCATCGACACAAAAGCCATAGTCACAGGCCCCTTGCTCTTCTGTCTGGAGCAGCCTCCACCTCCCCCACCCCCGGAAGTCTTGGGGGGGAGCAAAAAATGAGCACTGGTTCCCACCTAGCCAAGGAACCCCGGAGAAGGTTCGTGCAAAGAGATATATTTTTTTAAGAGGAATATGACCAAGACATTCTGCCCCTTGGACACTGGCCATGCAAAAAGAAGGGCCAGAGACTGTCCCTGATTCCCTTCTCCGATGCCCTCGTCTGAAGGGTTTGGACCACCCCAGGGCTCAGCCAGGGGGCTCTGAATGTATTTTGTATGGTGTTTCTTCCCCCACCCCCCAGGCTAATTTCTAGTTTTCTTTCACCGGGTAGTAGATGGCCGGGTCACCCCTCCTGTTTGGAGGTCAGTTCTCTCTGGGTCCAGAACCCGGGCCAGTTCCTTGCTAGTGGCCACCTCTGGTCACGAACTTTCTGTTCGAAGATTCCTCAGGTCAACACTGTCATTAAAAAGAGTTTTGTTGCTAATTCTACCACGTGGCCCTGTTGTAGATGGTGAGTTCACAAAGGAGACATTTTCGTGTGTGTGTGTGTGTGTGTGTGTGTGTGTGTGTGTGAGAGAGAGAGAGAGAGAGAGAGAGAGAGAGAGAGAGAGAGAGAGAGAGAGAGAGAGAGAGGAGAATGTCCAGGAGAGGGCTGAGGATTCTCTGGGTTTGTGCACAGATGTGGAAGAGGGTGTGGTGTCCCATGGGAGGTGTCGCTTCTGTGTATGTGAGTGACAGAGACCCTGTATGGAGCCAGTGACAACATAGAGACACAGGGAAGGGTGTCTTTCTGACACCCAGGGGCCCTGTGGTTGGCCTGTTCGATCTCCAAACCTCTACCCTGGCTTCTCACACACACCAGTCTGCAGCTTCTGTGGGGAAGGCTGTGACTAGAGACTTCCCCAGCGGGAGGGAGAAAGAACTTTTAATGTTGCCTTGTTGGCACTGAGGGGGAGGGGCAGCTGAGACAGACAAGGCTTCACCCCCCTCAAAGTCCTGGGCCACCAACGCAGGAGCAAGAAGCAGGACTTCAGTGGCAGAGTCATTGGGGGAGGGAATGTGGCTCATGAAAGCCACGCTGGGTGACGGAGTTCATCTGGGCCTGGGGTGACTCAGATCTCAGTCTTCAACCAACTCTGACCTGTCACAGACAGACCCACTCCTAGACCCTTGAATCTGGTCAACCAAACTGAGACCCTTAAACCTGGGTCACCTTAAACGTAGACCATTTAACCTGGGTCTCTCAATCCTAGACCCCTGAACCTGAGTCACCCAATCCTAGACCCCTAAACCTGAGTCACCCAATCTTAGACCCTTGAACCTGGATTATAGCTAAATCCTGTTACAGTTTATATGATCATAGACATATACTGATCCATGATCAGTCTTAGACTAACCCTAATCCTTATCCTATCTCCACACTGACTGAGTCCCAAGGCTGGTCCTATGCATACTGAGCCCTGCTCACAGTTATTTGACCACTCTAACCATGTTCCCAGGCTAATCCCTGACCTGCCCCAAAACAGATGACATTGGTGTCTCTTGAATGGTCCTTAATCTGTGTCCTAACTGACTCTAGGTGCTGACTAAGCCACAGTCTTGGCTTGGAAGGCATCTGAACCTTGGTCATGTGTGACCTGATGTGACCTTACATCAAGGCTTGAATGGTCCTGGTGGCCTACTCCTGAACCAGTGTGCTGGCTTGCTTTGAACCTAAGTCCCATCTATGTCCCCCGAGGCCACCTCCACCCACCCATTCCCAGTGAGGGAAAACATGTGGCATCTAGCTGGCCTGGATTCTTGTCTCAGGATCACAAGGAATCTACTGCATCCACCTCCCACTCCTCCTTGATGCTCCAGGCCATGGCCAGGGGTGAAGCTGGGCTGAAGCACCTGTCACAGCTGATATCTGCCCTTCCTGTGGCCATTTTTAGTCAAATCTTTACCTTTCAGACTTAGGTGGAACTAAAGGAATATTCTTTTGATCACTTGCTCACACATACTTACTTCCTAAGTATGGGTTGCCAGTGTATCAGACCCTGCACCCTGTTTTAGAGTCTAAAAAAAAAAAGGATTTAAAAAGTCCCCATCCCTGCAGATGTCCACGGAATCAGAAAGCGTTTGGGGAGGAGGAGAGTAAGGCCCCTGGTGACCCCTTGAGCTTCGGAGACTGCTGAGCCCGCTCACAGCTCAGGCTCTCACTTTGGAAAACAACAGGAAGAGTAGCTGTGGGTCCCAGTGGTCCCCAGCGCAGGGGGACAGGAGGGATCCACACTGGGTTCTGCTGTCTTCCCACAGTGGCTCCCAGACTCAAGTAGAATAAGGCTGATTATTGGAATCAATCCCAGGTTTTCCCAGGCGCCCTGGAGGCGGCCGCATCCCATGTAGAGGGAAGAGGAGAGGCAAGGGGGTGCGGGCAGGTCCTCCAAAGACTATCCTCCCGGCTCAGGTCCAGCCCCTCTTCCCCTGGGTCTCTCTTTTGTTGTCTTCCTCCTCCTCCTTCCTCCTCCTCGCTGTTTTTCTTACAGCCATGGTTTCCCTCTCTGAGGTCCGATCTCCTCCAGCTGCCCAGGGTGCTTCTTTCTTCTCTGCCCACCCCTTGCTGTCCCTGGCTGTCCCTGGCTGTCCCTCTGCCCCTCTCACCATCCCCTCATCCTGGTCTCTACCCCTGGATCGTGGAGCTCTCGACTCCTCTCTCCTGCCCTCCCTCCCTCTCTCCCACCCCGTTGTTGCCTCATCCTGCAGCGTGGGGGTGGCTCTGTGGGATCCAGGCATCAGGAGACAAATGTACCCGGGCTGGTAACCAAGGAAGTCGTTTCCTTAGCAACAAAAATCTACAGGCAGGGGCTGCACTGCCCTGTCCCTAGCTCTGCTATTACAGTAACAGGACAAAGGAAGAGGGAAGGGAAAATGAGAGAGGGAAAGAAAGAATGGATGTCAGACCGAGTGCCTCAGTGTGGCACTGCTGTGGTCCCTCCAGGAAGGGACAATGCTCTGGCACCAGCTCAGTGTCGGATGCTTTGGGAACACTGAGGCGCAGAGTGGGTGAGAGCTGAGGAGGCAAAGTGGAGGGTGTTAGGGTAAGCACCTGGAGGGCTAGACCACAGGTCAGATATGTAGAAAAGACAAAAAAAAAGGCAAATGGGCCTGGAGCTCCCAGGCTCGGCCATCCCCAGACTCCAGGAGGATCCCGTGACTGAATGAGAACACAGTGAGGGGACTAGGTGATTGGGGAACGTTTCCTACGGTTTCCAGTCCCTCAGGAGTTCCCCTCAGTGGGTGCCGGGGTAGGAGAGTATAAGGAAGGATGCAGAGATCTCCCATTCCATCCTCCCTTCTGAACTGCTAGGGAGAAACACGGAGGCCAGAACCACCCAGGGCGCGACCAAGGCACGAGATGCTTAAAGGGGTTAGGTAATTCACTGAGACACAAAGGTTGATGACAGTGCTTGGGTTGGAACCAGAAACCATGGGAGCCCGTTTGGAAGGTAGAAGAGGCAAAGGGGGTACTGTGAGAGAGGAGGGGGAGCAGAGACAGAGAGAGAGACAAAGACAGAGACAGGGGGAAGGAAGAGAGGGAGAGAGAGAGGGAAGAAAGGGGGAGGAAAGGGGGAGGGAGAGAGGGGAGGGAGGAAAGGGGGAGGGAGAGAGAGGAGGAAGGGAGGGAGGGAGGGAGGAAGGGGGAGCCTTAAATCATTCCTCTGATGACGCACCCTGAATGCGTGAGCACCTGTGCAGCTGTGAACGTTGGTCTCCAAAGAACACTTCTGTCCAGGTGCATTCCCTTCCAGAGAGACAGGTTGGGTCCCCCTTCCAGGCTGGTGCTCAAGATTCAGAGGGATGTGGGAGGCATGAGGACGGAAGGGCAGAGAGCTGTTTGTGGAGACAAGGAAACACGTCCCACCTCTTTCCGAAAAGCACCGAGGCGCAGGGTGAGGTGTATGCAGCCACGCGTCTGTCTGTCTGTCTATTCGTCGTCTTTGCCGGTTTACAGCTTCCTTCAGATCTGCAGCCTCTGGGTTGCCCGCTTTCCACTCCTCCCAGGAAGTGGCCAATGGCCAAATGTCCTTAGGACTCCATTCAGGCTTCTTCTCCCAGGCACCCTGACCACACAGACCGCATTCAGCCTCTCCTCAGCCACCCTGATCACGCCTTTGGAGGGGGCAGTACATGTGGTCATGTTAGAATCCCCAGGCATGTGTTTGTGTGTGTTGTGTGCATGAGACTTCCTGGAAAGCTGTGTCTGCAGAGGCAGGCTGACTCATCAGAACAGCAGCTACGTGGAGAGGTGGGAATGTTGCAGGTCCAGAGCCCAATTACAGTTTACTCTGGGCTATCTTCAGGGCCCTGAGTTAGGCGTTCCTTAGCTGCCTCTGTTAGACCTAATGTCCTATGACTCACAGGTCATAGGTGAAGGTGAAGCCTTCTGGAATGTTTTAACTCAGCAGACCCCCCAGCATCCACCAACCCAGGAGCTAAGTGTGTCATCAGAACACACCCGAGGCCTCCAGCCAGGGCTCCTCCTCCAGTGTATTTGAAAAGCGTCTCCATCTGTGACTGGCCTTTTCTATTGCTATGAAAAACCTCATGAAACAGCTTCCATGTTGGGACATGGCATCTGGGGAGACCTAAACCTGTGTTCCCGGGCCACGGTCACTCCTATTTGGCTCCAGAATAAACCCTCTCTTCTTTGGAAGTGAGAGCTGTGTTTTTGCATTGACTGTGTGTATGTGTGTATATATGTGTTTGTGCGTGTGCATGTGTGTGTGTGTGTGTGTGTGCGCATGGAGGTGGGTATGCTCATGTGTGCTCACATGAGTGCACATGGCTGTCTGCATGTTTGTGTGTGCATGTCCATGCACATGTCGCATGCCTCCCCAGGCCGTGAACTACGTGAGTCTGAAAACCCAGTCTTCCTCCTTCGTTTACAGATGTCTCCTGACACAGACAGTGACAAGCACCGGCCTGATGCAGAATCCATGTGCGCACGGTGTCACATCCCGCACCCGCTAGAGCTCAAGCGCTTGAGGCCCGAGATGGGAAGATCCATCTTCTGGACACTGACCAGAGAAAGGGGAGAGTGGGAGATAATGGTTCCCATGGTGACAGTAGCTTCTGGTTGCTAAGCACCAACGATGAGCTGACAGAAGCTAAGGGTTTCACAAGCCTATCGCCCCAAAGTCCCCCCCGAGACCCCTGTGAGGAAGGAACGCTTACCCTCCCCATTTCATGTCAGTGTACCAGTGCTCAGAGAGGGAAGGTAGTGTGGCCAAGGTGGCACAGCTTGAAGAAGGTGCAAGAGGACTTTGAACCCAGGAAGTCTGGTGTGGTGGTTAGAACGAGAATGGCCCCCATGGGCTCATAGATTTGAATGCTTGGTCGTGGGGGGAGTGGCGAATTTGAAAAGATCAGCAGGATGAGGAGGTGTGGCCTTGTTGGAGTAAGGGGGTGGGCTTTGAGGTTTTAAAATCCCAAGCCAGGCCCAGTGTCTCTTTCTGCTTGTGGATGTAGCTCTCTGCCTGCTGCCATCCTGCCGTCACGATAACAGACTAACCAAACTGTAAGCAAGCTCCCGGCTAAAAGCTTTCTTTTCATCAGAGTTGCCCTGGTCCACCGTGTCTCCTCACAGCAACAGAACACTGAGGCATCTGGTTTGAGAACCTACTTATGTGATCATGGGCTGCCACATGGTAGGTGCGGGGCAGATATGAGGTCAGGATGAAGAAGGAAGCTGTGGACCCGACAGGATGCTGGGGAGGGATGCTGAGGGTGGTCTACCACAGAGGCGAGGAGGAGACACGGGGCACAGGGCTGGTCTTTCCGTGGTTGCCTAGACCTCGAGGACTCAGATTGGGAAACAAGAAGCCACTCAAAGCTGTGGTTCCCAGATTCACACAATGAAACCCCAACTTCCCACACAGGGGCGTTTAGCAATGTCTGGAGGTGTTTGGGGTTTTTTTTCCACAGCTGAGGGTGTTGCTGGCATGTCAGTGGGTAGAGACAAGGAAGGTCACGTCTCACCCCACAGTTCATGGAACGTACGGGTGAAATGGTATGGACACAAGCCACTCTGAGAGCAGTGGGCTCAGGGGTGGCCATGCAGATAGATGCCTCCCAGTTCTCAGCTGCATGGATGGCTAACAGGTTCCCATGACAACTGCCAGGCAAGGAAGGACCTTGGATTCTGTGGCTTTATAGGTTTTCTGCCAACTCTTTCTCCTGCTGGAACTATCCACCCCCTTCCCCACAATCCATAGAGAAGAATGAGCTAGAGAGGAAGGCGTGGTCCGAGACCTTTTCCTGATGATAAATGAGGGCACAGGACTAATTTGGGGTGGGGTGTAAAAAAAGGAAGTGTAAAACCACAAACGCCCAACTAGCATATGTGGAAGAGACTGGAAAGGGAGGTGTTGAGCCAAAGCCATGAATTGTCTTCCCAGAAAAAAAAAAAAAATTATGTGTAGTTTTCCAATCCACTAAGGGGCTGGGGATGTAACTCAGTTGGCAGAGTGCCCGGTTCCATCCCCAGCACCTCATAAACCAGGTGTGGTGGTGCACATCTGTAATCCCAGCCTTCAGGAGGGGGAGGCAGGAGAATCAGGACTTCAACGTCATTCTGAGCTGTTGTGATTTCAAGGCTAGCCTGAGCTACATGAGACCCTGTCTCAACAAACCAAAAATGAATAAATCCATCCCTTGGCGCCTCAGGTAGGCAATTAGACTCTCTGTGTTAAAACAGTGGGAACCTGTTTTCAGTATTGGCTGTTACAGAGCTTCCCACTCAGGGGTGCACCCAGGAGATGTCTAAGCAAGCAGAGGGAGGGGAGGTATGCCTGGCATCTAGTGAGTTTGTATAAAACTCCACCTTCCAAATTTATAATTTGTAGCTTTATTTCCTATCTGTCCCGACTTGTTTTGTCAACTTGACACAAGCTAGAGTCATCTGAAAGGAGGGAACCTCAATTGAGAAGATGCCTCCATGAGATCCAGCTGTAGGACATTTTATTAATTAGTGATTGATTGGGGAGGACCCAGCCCATTGTGGGTGGAGCCATCCCTGGGCTGGTGGTCCTGGGTTCTATAAGAACACAGGCTGGGCAAGCCATGGGGAGCAGCCAGTAAGCAGCACCCCTCCATGGCCTCTGCATCAGCTCCTGCCTCCAGGTCCCTGCCCTGCTTGAGTTCCTGTCCTGACTTCCTTTGATGATAGACTGTGGTATGGAAGTGTATGCTGAATTAACCCTTTCTTTCCCTAGTTGCTTTTGGTCATGGTGTTTATCACAGCAATGGAAACCCAGCTGGACGGTGGACTTGGAGATTGAAAAACCTTATGCCACTTCATTTCCTTTCTCTGCTTTGTGCTTTATGGTTGAGGATGTGAGTTCTCAGCTTCCCGCTCTGGCCACCATGTCTCCCACCTGCTGCCACGCTTCCCTGCAACGATGGACTCTTATCCCTCTGGAATCATAAGCCCAAATAAGCTCATCTGTAAATTCCCTCGGTCACGGTGTTTTATCACAGCGACAGAAAAGTAACTAATGCGGGGCTGGAAGCATTTGTAGGGTGCACTGGGCCAATAAAGCTCCCTGGTGAGGCGTGGGCAGGGCGGTGGTGATGAATGCACAAATGAACCAGTAAACTGCCAAAAAGTGGGTCAACCAGCAAATGAAGCCATGCATAGGATGGATGGACGAGAGTGTGAATGAGTCGTGGATGGATGAATGGATGGGAAAATCACTGGATGGATGAATGACTGGATGGGAAAATCACTGGATGGAGTCTTCAGAGGTGACTTCTTCCCCTCTGAATGTGCTGTCCTCTCCTGTTCCTTTGCACAGCCTATAAAGCCAGGTATTTTGCACACGGCAGCGTGCAAGCCTGGACGTCACATTTGCTCAGAGTTCCTGTTGCTGGCTTCTGAAGGTTACAGCTGTTGAGTGACTCCTTCAAAACATCTTTGCAAGTATCATATTCTTTGTCATGGATCCCACTGAAGTCCCTGCCCACAGTCAGTGTGGCGGACACTGTTCGCTGGGCATCACCATCTTAACCAGAGCAGCTGTGACTACCCACTAGCAATTCAGCCTATTGGTGTTCCCTCATGGAAGCAAGGGTTGAGGGGTCATTAGACCCTCATCAGATTCCAGCTCCCTACTCAGATACTCACGGAGATCTGCCTGGCTCTGCCTCCAGAGTGCTGAGATTAAAGGCGTGCGCCACCACCGCCCGGCTCCCTACTCAGAGTTCTTAAATCAAGATTCATCTCAAAGATGAATGAGCAGGTCTGAGTAGGTGAAGAATGTGTCCTAGTCAGGGTTTCAATTGCTGTGACAAAACACCATGAGCAAAGCAAGTTGGGGAGGGAAGGGTTTGTTTGGCTTACATTTCCACACCATAGTCCCTCACTGATGGAAGTCAGGAGAGGAACTCAACCAGGGCAGGAACCTGGAGTCAGGAGACGATGCAGAGGCCATGGAGGGGTGCTGCTTGCTGGCTTGTTCCCCATGGCTTGCTCAGCCTGCTTTCTTATAGAACCCAAGACCACCAGCCCAGGGATGGCCCCACCCACAATGGGCTGGGCCCTCCCCCATCAGTCACTAATTAAGAAATGACCCTACAGGCTTGCCTACAGGCAGAACTGATGTAGGTATTTTCTCAATTCCTTGCCAGATTCGTGTAGTTTTGTGTCAAGTTAAAAAAGAAAAAAGAAAAAAAAAACCACACTTGCCCCCAGTGACTGGAAACCTAGGCTTCAAATACCTGAGATTACGGGGGCCATTTCCCGTTCAAACCACCAGGCGCCAGCTGCTCAGATCCAGGCATCCCTTTTATAGCTGAACCTGTGTCTTTCCAGATGCTCTTCCTTCATCCTCAACATTTCGCCCACTCTCTCTAGTCAGGGCGCTGTGGTTCAGAAATAATCACACAGCCCTGCTGTCTCCCAAGCTTGGCACCCCTCTCTGTAAATCCAGGGTGTTGAGCTAGGTGAGCCCTAAGGACTGGGAGTATTCATAGACGAAGAAGGGGTTGTGTGTAGGCATGGAGTCAAAGAAACAAACCAACCCCTGAAGAACTAAAGGGTCGGAGAAGGGAAGGGCTAGTCACACCTACTTCCCCTAAAGCATCAGCGCTGTCTGTCCCCCCTTCCCCCACCCCGCCCAGCCTCTGCCCTTTTCTGCAAGTCTTTGAGCTGAATGACCCGAGGCTGGAGAAGCCTCGCCCACTCCCTGGCCTTCCCAGGCTGCCCTGAAGCAACAACCAGCCCATCCCTTGCCTCCTGGACTGTGGAAAGTGTCTAATTAATAAACACGCCTTTAATGCAAGTTGATGTTAAAAAGCGACATTTAAATGCTAATTATTGTTATCAGGGCCTGTTTCCTGCCTAATTAAATGCATGGATTCTGTAATTATTAGCTAATTCCCAAATAGAAGCCAGGCCCTCAGGTGTTACAACTTTCTCTCAGCCATTGACCTGATTCTCAAGTCCTAGGAGGACAAGCCTGATGGTCTTGGGGCTTGAAAGGGGGTGAAGTGGGGTCCTGGGGGAACGTGGCTTTGCTGGTGTGACCTTCAGGGCCCAGTTGTCAGCTCCCTGTGGCTCACTCAGCTTTAGGAATGTGACCCCATGTCTAGAAAGTGAGAGGCATGTAAGGGGACCTAACCCTCTGAAGTATTGGTGGCTGCAGCCGCTATGGGACCTGCCACCTCTACCCTGGGTTACGTTTTCTGCCAGCTGTTTTGAAAGGTATTTTACACTCACTTGTCTTGTCAGCTTCCTGTTGCTACAATAAACACCTGATCTGGTTAATTTATAAAGTTAGATGATTTCTTTGGCTCCAGGTTCTAGAAGTTCCAGCCCGGGATTAGGCAGCCCCATGGGTTTTGGACTTCTAGCCATGGTGGCATCACCGCAGGAGGGCGTGGCAGAGAAATCTGCTTACATGGTTTTGTCTTTTCTAGACTTTCTCATCAACAGAACTGTTCAAGGAGCCTGGCTTCTTTGTGTGCATTAGTATTCCATTCCTTTATACCGCTGAAAAGTAGTGTTCCCATGTGTAAAAAATGTTTTATTTCTATTGGAGGTAGCTCGCATTCCAGGGCTAATATTTCACGTGTCTCCCGACTTCGTGAAACTTCGATGCATATCTTTTTTTTTTTTATCTCCTTCTGGGCAAAACTTTTCTTCAAGCAAAGTACCTCCTCCCTGCATCCCCAGAAGTCCGTGGCCGCAGCAGCTGGCCACTCCCCCTTTTCTTCACTTCCTGTGTGCCTATCCTTTAAAACTAGCCAACAACGGGGCTGGAGTGATGACTCAGGGGTTAAGGGAGCTTGCTGTTCTTGCAGAGAACCCAGGTTCAGATCCCAGCACCCATGTGGTGCCTCCCAACCATCCATACTTTCGGTTTCAGGGGATCTGACGCCCTCTTCTGACCTCATCATTGTGTGCACCTGGTGCACATGCATACAGGCAGGCAAAGCACAGAGCTTTAAAAAAACAAGCTAGCCAGTGTGAGGTGGGATCCAGCCAATGGGGAAAAGACACTGTCACCTTCTGCATTCGAAGAAACCCCAGCAGCAGCGTGTGACAGCACCCACATCTAATCTCAGCACTCAGGAAGCAGAGGCAGGCAGATCTCTGTGAGCTCCAGGCCAGACAGAGCCACATAGTGGGACCCTGTCAAAAACACAAAACAATATAAATGAAATGAACCTCCGGTGGGTCATGACTTACCCTGTCTTTACAAAAAAAAAAAAAAAAAAAAAAAAATCGCCTTGTTAATTTACTTTCACTTTGTTCCCAGGATTTTCTTATGCGACACCAAAAATACTTGTTCCCACACACGTGGGACGTACCACAGTTGGGACACACACCACTTGTGGTTTGAGTTCTTTCCAGTTTGGGGTTTCTTGGGTTTTGTTTGTTTCTATCAATAAAAACTGCATAAGCATGCACCTGTACTCTTTGTATGGACAGACGGTCTCACTCTCTTAGTTAAGTGTCCAGGAGAACTGCTGGGTCACAGTCCAGCATTAGTTACCCATGAAATTTGCTGCCAAACTTCTCCCAAGAGGTCGCATCCTTTGCATTCCCATCAACCCTGTCAGTCTCTCCCTTTTAGATGTGTGTGTGTGTGTGTGTGTGTGTGTGTGTGTGTGTGTGTGTGTGTGCTATATGTATGTGTGCACATAAATGCAGGTGTCCCTGGAAGACAGAAGAGGGAGTCAGGTCCCTAGAGCTTGAGTGGCAGGCAGTTATGAAACCCCAGACATGAGTGCTGGGCACTGAACTCGGATCCTCTGCAGGTACAGGAGCAGTTGGTGCTCTGACAGCTCTGGTCCTTGTTTCCGGGGTGAGCTGGAGTGTTCTTTGTCTGTCCTCAGGGCAAGTGCCCTGCTGAGGACAACGCATCTTGGCCTCAAGCACCCCCCCCCCTTTCCACTCTTTGGAGGAACCAGAGCCACTCATTTCGGTGAAGTTCAGGGTGTTGACTTTGCTGTGTTAGCTTGTGTTCTGGTTTTGTCTCTTTCAGACATCTCTGTTCTTGTGAACCCAGGTACACAGAGGCCTCCTCCCCAGAGCACCCACTGTTCACTTCCTCACGCTGGTGCTGGTGTAAGATTACACCTAAACTCCCCCGTGGGAGTCTGTTGGGAGACCAGCTCCAACCTGTCCCACCTTGGGTGGAGGAGAGAGGAATTAGGAAATATTAGGTAGAAAGATAGACCTAGACAATGAGGAGAAAGGCAGAGACACAGGATAGCTTCGGGAGGGCCCTGGGTCAATTCCCAGTTGCCCAGAACTTTATTCAAAAGGGCTTTTTATAATATGCCAAGGGGAGAGGCAAAAGACCCTCCCCCTTGCAAGCTCAAAGCACATCATACAGCCAAGTGTGGCCCCTTCCAAACACCTGGTAAACACACCCCTGGCCAAATCATCTCCTTATGCAGCCCTGCTGGGTAAAGCAAGCTCAGGTTCTCTGACCCTGATTAAGGTCTCACTAGGAAGCCTCTGTGGGCCATCACAGTAAGCTAAAATGCATTTCTCTGGCTTCCAGCCTACAACAGGTAGGGAGGCAATGGATCCCCTATGTCCACCATTAAAAATGAACCAGAGCATGGGGGATGTAGCACATGGTTAAGAGTACTGTCTGCTCTTGCCGAGGGCCTGGGTTTGGTTCCCAGCACCCACACGGTGTCTCATAACTATCTCTACCTCCAATTTCAGGGGATTGGATGCCTGCCCTCTTCTTGCCTCTGCAACAATGCACACACATGGAACCCAGACAGACAGACAGATAATTATAGATAGACAGACGGACGAACGGACGGGTGGATGATAGATATGCAAAGCAGACATTTTACAGGAGGCCAAAATCACCACCTCTAACTCCATCCCGAAGGTGCCCTGTGTTGTGGTTCAGTGTGAAATGACCCAGAGATCTCCATGTTGGATGCTCAGTCCCTTCCTGGGGATGACTCCTTGAAGACTCTGGAAACCCTCTGGACCTGCCGAAGGTCCCAGAGGACTTTGGGGCATCTTGTCCCCGCTCCTCCCCCTCCTCTCTCTCTCTCTCTCCTCCCTTCTTCCCTCCCTCTCTGTTT